CAGTCACTTCAACATTTAACACATATACGTGTAATTGAATAAATTAAGTTGTTGTGGTTAGCTAATTGATGATTTTGGTTTATCTGTCCAATTTTTTGACCAATAGATAAACATGGTTCTCTGCAGTGGTTAAGATAACAACCATGTTAGTCAAATAATGTTTGCATACTGAAACATTAATAAGGAATTATAAAGGAAAATACCTGAATATCTCTCGTATGGATCTTCTTTTGTGGACCATATATATTACTAAAATGAAATCAGTGGTGTAGGTTGTACTAAAAAATTTAGACAGTTTTGATCATAAGGGATTTATGTGTATTTTTGTGAGGACACATTTCTTTAGCTGGATTCGTTTACATCAGTACTTTACAAAAAGTAATATTCATCGTGGACAATCTTACGGAGTTGTCAACCAACATCTTGTTGTGAGTAAAGGAATATATCCAAGAATAGGACTTTCACTTCGTTAGTGCAACTAGTAATCAAAAACCCTTCGTTTAGAGATTCTTGAATCTGAGCAACTAACAGAAAAAATGTGCATTGTCTGGTTTGAGACAACACTTTTCTATTATTTTCGTGTACACAATGGGGATCTATGTAAATGGGAGTACTCGTGTATAAGTACGCGTCACTTTTAGAAGTGCACAGAAAAGTACGATCGTTCTATCAAGTTTATATATATGTCTCAGTGATATTCTGATATAAATTATCTTTTAATAATAAAACAGAAGTGAGAATCACAGAATGATTTGGACACTTAAAACGGTGAACGGTCACTGAAATAACACTATGTCGTAATAAAACTAACATTATCCTCAATATGATCTAGTCTCTGGAGAATGGTCAAATATTTTTCTGTACATGCAACCTTACTTGGCGTAGGTCATCAAGTGGCGCAATCTGTTAGCTGTTGCATGAAACAAACTGATCATGCTCAGGCTTAGATATTCATGTCTGAAAATACTGAAGCTTAGCGACTAGCTCAGAGCTTGTAAGGTTAAGTTCAACTTAATTTTGTGGCTTCGCATGTAAATATGTAATTCATTTTAGCTATTTCTAACTGGGTAAGGCAATAAACTGAGGACTGTTATATTCATTATTTTTGCGTTAATGGATCTAATGTTATTGTTCCTGAAAGTATGCTTACTCATTTGGATAACCTATCATGTTTACTTAGTCAGCTAGCTATAACATAGGACCAGGCATATATGTGCATCGGTCCAGGTTGCCATACCTCATTAGCACAACAAGATGAACACCGGATTCATAGAAGTAGTTAATTCAATGGTGGTAATATATAAAAGAAAGATTGCATATAAGGACATAGTACAGGAAGAAAGAACTAGTTCGTAGAAAGAAAGATATGGAGTGATTTCAATCTCATAGTTTAAAGGAAGACAGAGAGTGCATACACCTAGGCCATTGTGATCAATTCTGAGTCGTCACCCAGAGTCTTCAACCATTGGTTACGATAGTCATGCGGACCCCAACCAAGTAGTTTGTATCTACCAACATGGCTCAGACTACAAGTTGGTGAATTCAAGCACTGATGCCACGTTTCGGTTTGTTTCGTAGAGATCTAATGATTGTGAAAAAGATTAAGTCGACTGAAAAGTGGAAAATTTCTAAATAATATCATGGCTATGCTTTTTTATAATTTGATAATTTTATATCAATACTTGCCAGTAGAATTTCATTAAACATTAAACAAGACGAGTCACCAAACTCATGGATAGATTTATTAGAAACAGTTTTGAAAAAGTTGTCCTATTTCCTGCTAACAACTTTTTGCAGACATGAAACTATTATTCCTAACATCATGGTAGGCGGAGATCTGAAGCAACTGGACTGGGCATCTTCACTGTATGATTCTAATAGTCATATAAATTCTTTATTTACAACTTCGAGCAATTCATTTCATATTCAAAAGCGACTGCATTTGTTAAGTGATGTTTTTTACGATCTTATTTTTGACACGGGCAGTATCATTTCCATCATTTCTGTTGCAAAACTAAAGTCATTAGATCTCAATGTAATACTTAAGCCTGCCGAGGTTTCTATTTCGAGTACTACAGGTCACAGAATTTCCATTCCTGAGTGTTGGAATTTTCTGATTAAAGACCACAAACATTCACACCTAAACTGTCAATTCCTTGTCAGTGGTTGTGCTCATCTGGTTCGTACTGACTCAAATTGCTTTATTTCAGGAGTACTTATTTAGCACATTAATTCCAATATTTCTCATTATCATAGTTTCGACCCCAGATTTCAGAATATTATTCTGGAGTCTATATATAGTACTAAACTGGTAGGCTTATCATAGTGTGGTTGACTGACCATTTCATGACTTACTAGAACATTTGATCTTATGTACAAGTTACGTGACTTTCCACGTTGATTTGGCCTACTTTGATAATCGGGGTATACAGTTTTACACTAATTTTCGAGCAGAGATGAAAGATATTCTCAGAGATACCAGTCTTAGATGACCGAGTTACACCTTAGTAAACTTCCGTCGGCCTTTATTGACCTTTCCGAATTTCATCTACTGTGCGGCATTCATATATAACATATTATGATCAATGTAGCACGTAGGTAAAGCTTGGTTTTGTTTCTTGGATTTAACAGTCTTATTCTGTAGTAATGAAATAGTACTACGTCAGTCCGGTGATTTTCATCCCCCTCTATTTTTACTTTGTTTCCCAACACAAAGGTACAAAAGTATCACAAATTAAATAAACGATTCGCTATACGTAAACGAGATTCGAAATACGTTGATAGATAGATTAACTAAATGAAAACCTGAAATGTACGATCTTTCAAATCCTAACGTTAATGTAATGATACAGCCAACTAGAGAACAGTGATTATCGACCGCTCCAATGACACATAAAACCCGTACGAGCAGTCTAGAGTCTTTATTGGTCCTACGTCCTGCCTAGCGCTGCCTGTTAATTTCAGAACACCAATCTCAGCCTCTGCAATATGAATCATGTATTTCAAACATACTGGGTATATTTACATACCAAACAGACCACATCACTCAATAAAATAGAAAATAAAATTTTTACGAGATCTAGCCAAAGGTGGCTGTGAATGTGGAAGACTGTAATTAATAGACTGAGCGTAACTCAAGAACGGTAGATCGTATAATCATAGTCCATGGTCCAAAATAAAGCTTTTAATAAGAGGAACATGAATATGCATAGTTTGGTTACATAACAATTATATAATAAAAATATATGTATCGTATCGGTCCAGAAATAGTTCTCAACAGTTATGATTCTTATTCCTGTCAGGATGTAACCTTTTATAACAGTATATAAAAATAGAACATCATGGTCACAACTGGATTTATTGTACGTAGATTTCAGATCAGCTGCGATATTGTATACAGGACAAATCATCAAGTGGTGCAACCATTACAGATTAGTTTATTATCATGCTAGTTGGTGCGCTCTTAAGTACCAAAAGTCACCTATAGACTTAGCCTTCATTGATTTCAGCAAAGCTTTTGACAAAGTTCCGTACAACCGGCTGTTATATAAATTAAGAAATGTCGGGATTGGAAGCAATCTATTTATGTGGATAAAAGACTTCTTAGTTGGGCGTCAACAAAGAGTACGGGTGAACTCAAAGTTATCTAGCTGGGAAACTGTGCTTAGCGGAGTGCCCCAGGGTACAGTTTTGGGGACAGTGCTTATCCTCATGTATATAAATGACCTTCCTCGTCTCCTATCATCATCGGTCTTGCTATATGCTGACAATGTCAGGATATGGAGAACGATACGATGTAAGGGTGATAGCTTAGAACTCCAAAATGACCTGGAGAAATTATCTGAATGGTCTCAAACCTGGCAGTTGCCGATAAATACTTCCAAGTGTGTTGTGATGCATATCGGTCATCAAGGTACAGATACATACACGATGAATAACACTGAGCTACGTGTCGTCCAGACATATAATGACTTAGGAGTCATCGTTAGCCAAGACTTAAAGACTACTGCACACTGCTGTGCGATGGCCACCAAAGGTTTTAAAACCTTATGGTCAATACGTAGGGCTTTCAGTCACGTCGACGCTAAAACGTTTTTGATTTTGTATACAGTGTTCGTACATCCTAAACTTGAGTAGTGCATACAAGCGGCTAGCCCCTGCTTAAAAAAGACAGTGAGCTTCTGGAACACGTTCAGAGAACGGCAACTAAGCTGATTCCCGGAATAGCGAAGCTTCTGTATGAAGCTCGACTGACCAAGCTGAACCTTTTCCCGTCGTCATATCGCAGAACTAGAGGCGACTTGATAACAGTTTTCAAATTGCTTGGTGATAAATTTGCACCTGATATGCCCTGATTTTTCTTGTCTTCCAAAACAGAGAATTTACGAGGATACTCCAAAAGAGTTCACAATTCCAGGACAAATTACTTGTCAGTTGACTATCAACTTTCCCATCAAATCATCAACGAGTGGAATTCATCACCTCAGCACGTGGTTGAGGCTCCATCCGTCGACTTTTTCAAAAGAAAGTTGGATCAACTGAGAGAACACCATTGCCGGGACTAACACAGGCCATCAAGCCACCTGTCCTTCCCAAACCGAAACTGAATCTGAAGATATCTACACACTTTTCTGATACAACATTACACTTAGGAACCAAAAAGGTGTTTTGTCAGAAAGGTATGCATTTGGAACAAATAGAATATTAAAAACGTATCTCAGGAAAGCGGTAACTAATGCATAGCATCAGTCACTTTTTGGATGCGGACTAAAAACTCCTTTTTAGTGCTGATGTAATACAGTCGATCATGTTGCAATGATGCGACTAGTTTAGGTGAATCGACATCTCGTGCATTATAGTGGCTTCACTGTAGGACAAGCATTCAAAATCTTGTTGTGGAATCAAAGAGCATTAAAATGGAAATTTGTTTCTCTAGTTCCCCCCTATAGGGCGCTATTGTATGCAATGTCTTTCCAAGGAAAAGCGCTTCATACAATGTGCGACCTTGAGACCACTTGGCATATGTAGGTTTTACCGCATACTTACTTTTCATGCAAGTATGTTGGTACGAGGTTTATCTGTCGTTAGCACTCCGAAAACTGCATCGAAAAGTGATGATTATCTAATGGGCTTCATTTTGATGATTGGATAAATATTATTGAGTTCATCGGTGAGACTATAATTTATGGACGAGGCAACTAGATATAAGACAACAAGAATACTTTGGATTTTAATGGCTTAATTTATGAATCATCCTATGAAATACTAGTCGCTAACTAACTGTTGTAAGGGTAGCCTGTGTCACTGCATGGTAACTCGTACCCATACTTGAGATCTCAGCCTTTTCCAATAATAGTTCCGCATTTTCACATGCTGCGCAGAACTGCTTCCAAAATTTCAGTAGGAAAATTTTTAGAATGATGGAGAAATTCGAAAGCTGCCTAACCCACTCGCTGAAATGAAGCACTAGAATACTAATTCTGTCAGCGAAAACTCACGCTAGCTTTTCTTTGTTGGTAAATGTAAGTTCCTTTCCTGTAACGATGGCCGAGAATAACGTTTTCTCTGACCTATGTTTTTGCACGACATATCGTTTTCCGCTTGGCTGTTACCAATTCTAGTTTAAGGTTTTTCTGTTCTCAGATCATGTCTTGTTACTCTACACAGTTTCAACTTAGGAACACTGAAATAGCTAGCTTTTTCTTTACTTCTGTCCTATTCCTGAATTTCTTTGCATTGGGTATAAGTGTTTCGCATCAGTACTCGTACTATCGAGTTGGTATTAGGAAACCTTCTGTCATTCGTTATTAGTAAATTACTGTAAACCCAAACAAAACAAATCCTGGATACGACAGTAGATATACCTCGATTTTGCTTGAGGTTCAATACGTTAGTAAACTTCTCAACTATAAACCTTATCAAGTGTCGAAGCACATTCATGTCTAACAGGTCAGTCTCTCTGGTATCAAGAAATGCACTGACTATTGGCTCTGTTTAAGTGTATGATGTGGGACAACAACTTGATCATTCAAAAACCACCGTATTATTGTCTACTAGACACACAGTGTTGTCAGTCTTTGGAACTATTTGATTAGTAACTCACAAAACTTATTTTTCTCGTAGATGTAAAACGTAACTTGTCTGCGCTAATGCTTAACGTAGCCGTAGAGCTTATGTAGTCGATTGTATTGAACACTAGTTACGTTGATCACAAAATTTCATTGACTAATATAGTTGAAACAGCCAGTCAGTCGCAACGTAGAAGCTGCTACGTATGTGCATCGTCTCAAGTTGTTATACCCCTTTTGCACACAGCGATAGGATTGTCAGGTCAAATCTCAGACTGGTAAAGCTATTAACAATATCAGTGGTAATAGAAAAAAATAGTCATCGAGGATATGATTCAATAAACCATAAATTAGTAAAATAAAAAGTATTACGAGGAATTCAGTAGCTTAGAATTTAGGGGAAGACAAAGAGTAAATCTATCTGCACTATTGTGAACTATTTTGAAACAAATCTCTAACCACTGGTTACGGTAGTTGAAATATGCATTACGCATACCTAGCTGTCGCTTACTGTAAAGTTCAGTGGTGTGTGGTGTAGTAGGTAGGTTGATAATACTCTGGGAGCTACAGAAGTAAGACATTAGTTCACGAAATCATTCACCATCAAATATTCATTTTGATATTTGTGTACTTCATAACCTACAATTAAAGATCGTATTCACTTTTACTAATCTAAATCTTAGATCTTATATCATCCCACACTTTTCATTCATCAATCTCATTTATTCTTCCTGAATCATACTTTTTTGTTTTCCTATCTCATTTCATGCTATCAACTCTTTACTTCCCATCTTAATTTCATCTCTCAATATGCTGATACGAGGTGTAGCGACTTAGACTGATATACTTTCACACCAAGCCTATGGACTGTGTGTAATAATCCTGGGGATGCCAAGTCCCTAAATACTACACTTAGGAAGCGATAAATTCTAGAATTCACAAGGTGATTTAGATTTCAGTTTCGCTGTATCGATTCATTCACCACCAATTTATTTTATGTTCAAGCGATGATTGTTCGTTCTGATAAATTTTGTATTGACAATCATTGAATAATCAACGTATGATTAGATTAACCTGAATGTAAGTTAGTTCTTCTGGGGTCTTCACCGAAATTCCCTCTATTTCGTTGAAGCGTCTTGTGTTATTTGTCCAGTCCGTAGATTTTACATAGTTCCGCTTAAGACGAATCTCAATTGTTTCTTCAGAAATGCTAAACCCCATCTCAATTTGCAACGGATATAAGTAATGTGTAATGGTTGGCTTAATCATTATAGATACAGTTGGTTTTCTGAATAGGCCTCATAAGACAAAATACACGGATACCTAAATCGATGTAAGTGACCGAGGTGCATTCATTTTCTATTTTGTTTTCACTCATGAATATCCTACTTTTTTTCAAAAAAAATGTTTTCTCTTCGTTGCTGTTTCTAACAAGTTCCCGTGCCTTTACTGTTAATATCTTCGTGAACTTTATGCGGTCACTCAAACCGCAACACTAACACCCTCATTCTGAGCCACAAACATTCTCCATCATCTGAGTTTGAAATATCTTCTGTTCCACTCTAAACTTTGAATCCACTCATCTATATATTTTTCAATTTGTTTTCAGTAGTAGGTTCTTAATAAGACAGTCTCCTTGAAAGTGCTCATATAAAGTTTGTCAGATTTGTATGTCATGTCATCATGCATCGAAATGGGAATGAATTGCTTATAAACTTCAAGTTATTACTAATTGGAGATAGTGGAGTTGGGAAATCAAGGTTAGTACCAATATCATACGACTTTTTCAATTTTTATAGCTTGTTAATGCGTTATACTAATGATTGTTTTGAAAGTCAGCTATCTGCAACTATCGGTAAGTTTATGCAGAAGTAATTTGTATGTATTTATCATTTTAGGCGTTGATTTCAAAGTCAAACTTGTTACGGTCCCTGATGGAACAAAGATTAAGCTCTCGATATGGGTGAGTGATCTGACTTTCCTACCCCAGACTTTTACTTATATAAAGACTTGTAATCAATTTTAAACATGTGTTAATAAGTGAGCTTTTTTCACATAACCGCATACTCTCCAAATCGTCAGTCACCTTTGTACGAAGCAAATTTTGTATCTGTGAACTAGTGACTCATCAAGCATCAGTGAATCCATGGCTCACATCATTGGTGGTGACATTTTAAAATAGCGTAAAAATGTACAACAGGTAGGAAAAATGTATATTTATTGAGAGAAGTTACAAAGTATTTACAAAATACATATACATAGCCTTCAATCGTCCATTTGCATCTTACGGTGTGTTCTGCTATCTGAACTGTCTTCTCGTGTTGTCCCCATGTGTTATGTCAACGCCGTGCTTTCGATGCACTGGTACTCTTCATTCTGTTTGACAGTTATTGCAACTTCGACTCCGCGTTCCGCTACACGCTACTTACAAACAATCTTATGAGTAGCGTCCACTACAATAGCATGGTTGAATGGAGTTCATTACTGACACGCATAAACATTAAATATGTGGTTAATCGTTGACATACTGGACATTGATCCAGAAAGTCATGGGTTTAAAGCTTAGGAAACCTACAGAGGTTAAGATAGCACTCACATAATAAACGTAGCTCATAGCGAATATACCAACAACGTATTTTTAATGGAAAAATCCACTAGAAATGGATATATTTCATTCATTTTACAGGTTAGAAAATGAAGTGCTGAGTAGCTACTTTGAAATTGTTGCCACGTTTTTTCAGTCAACTTTTTATCCTGCAGTTTTTCTAATCTTAGAAACTGTTAGGTTAAAAAGATGACTTCACGGTTCAGACTTATAGGAATCGCTCAAAATGCTAAGTGGGGTTTCCGACTGACAGCATTTCTGTAGTAACCACTCAGTAGAAAATTCTGTCAGATACCCCAGTTGGGTTAAAATCTCTGCACAAGACAACAAGATCCACTGTGATTCCTATCATGAGTTTTAAATAGAATACAATAATTTCCAGTTTAATCCTAATTAGAGTCAGGATACCAGTCCTTATTGATCCCCATCAGTCTCAATAATCTACTTGGCCAGTGTTGTAGTCAGATTTGTTAAGACCCTATTAATATTACTCTGAATTTCTAAATTATTTAAATACTGTTATTTATGATACCCTTGTTTTTCGACAGTTGCATGTATGGGGAAGTCAGAAAAGTCTCAGATCAAAGAGATTGTTATGTCCGAACGAAGAATAAATGAAAGATAACTTCTACGAGTTATCTATGGACTATTACTACATATATTCTTATGGTATAATTATTTAAGCTACTGTATATATATCCCATTTATCATAAGATTTCATTTGACCTATTGGCTACCGTTATACGACTTACGATTCTTTACTTATTCCCACTTTATCAGCTACAGTATCTCATACAGCCACTTTTGGTTTGATATTGTTTCATTATTATTTTGCATTTTACTACATATGTTTGAAATATACGATTCATACAGTGGAAGATCAGATTGTGTTCTGGACTGAATGGTCTGGGCTAGGTGAGAAGTTACTATACAGAAGAATAATAATGACTCAGTTGACTGCTGCTGCTCATGCTGGGTAACGAATCATTGGTTTAGCACAAACATATCATATAAATCGGTGTTTTGATTGGCGGTTTCGTCATGTTATATTAAACGGCTTATAAGACGTAAAAGAGATACTAAATATACTGAATCATCATTATGAATAATTTATTGTGATGTACATTACATCTGAGTAAAACTGTAACCCTAGTCCTTGCATTCCTATTTAGTTCATTCAATTGATTAACGTCGCTTTTGAATGTCTTTTCGTTTCATTGCTGTTGAAGCTTCTGTGCAAGATTGCTACTTCTCAATTACCTTTCTGAAGGTATGACTGAAATCCTTGGTTTTGTCTTCAAATCCAAGAATGCCTTTTGTAATAAAACATTAACATCTGTCAAGTTTTTTATTCAATTGTTAGTCGTACTCATCAAATCTAACTGTATTGTTTCTTTCTATGTTTGTAGACAAATGTATGAAATATATGTTTGCCAGTTATTGAGAATTGGTTATTTGTACATTGGTTACGTGACATACTTTCTGTTGTCTTATCGTGTACCAAGGAATTTCTGTACTGTCATTACATAATTATATAGAAGACATTTCTCTGTTGATTTTGAGGTTGTGACTTGGTTAATCCTTAAAAAGGGCGTTCAACTGAAGGCCTATTATGGGCTGATTAAGTACTAACACACGATCTAAATGTACAAACATTTTTGGTTTTTTTTATTTTAATAGGAAGGCTGGCTAATTAGTTCCGATTGTTTGTATATAAGTAAACGTTGAAGTACGCCGTTACCGCGTGAATTTTTTCCGACACGATAGATTGCATTTAAGATGTAATGATTTATTTTTACAGCACCTTTTTCAAAATTTTGTAGGATACTGCTGGTCAGGAGCGGTTTCGTACTTTGACACCCAACGTGTATCGTGGTTCACACGCTGCTGTTTTTGGTGAGTTGCGTTTTAAAAACTTGTTACGGATTATATTATGTGGTTTCATGGGTATTCATTAACTTTGATACTCATAAATGAACATCTTTTGAATCGAGCTTGACGTTGAAAAGCCAATGCAAGTAAAATTATCATTTTTTCTTATAACAATGCTAAAACACCATTCGAACAGACTACTTCTCATACACTTATAAAACATATTTTTCGAATATATGGCCTATAATTTCCAGGTAATTGAATACAGGATCATCTTGCTCAATCTAAAAACCCATTATGTTGTTAAAAATATGTTGATACATAAAATTCAATCGCAAGCGTCTCATTGACTGAAGATATGCGTCAAGAAGAGTAAAAGTTAACCAGATTTCTACTCCTGAACCACTTTATTCTAACTGTAGATCACTAATGGACAAAATGGACTTTATTTTCTATTAAGCGTAAATATGTATCGTAATTGTGGCACAGTCTCAGTTCAAGAATCTTGATTAAATGATTTCCATGACGATAGTTTGATATCACTACATAATTTCGGGGTTCATCATCAAGATTGTTCAATCAACGAGAAGAAGTGAGGTGCTGGTGTAAATGTTTTGTTATTGTAGACTGGTATTAATCTAACTATGCACATTTTAAGTTTCCCAACAATTTTATAGACCATTAGCATTTCTAGATAATAATTCTGCCTTTGTTTCTGTTTCATGACCACTAATGTTGGGCAAGTTTATTGGCGTTAATGCTGAGAGCTGGATAACTAACTGGGCTTGTTCTTATTTCTTTGAAACAGTATATTGTGTATAAAAGAAAGCTTTTCACATATTTGTAAATCAAAGTTGGTTTACCACAAGTCTTTGTCTCCCCTTCTCTTTTATTTTTCTTACATCTGCTGTCCACATAAAGCAACTTCTTATGATATTGAAGATGATATCTCGACTATTGAAGTTGTGCATTGTAGGTCTAGAGTTGGTTGCAAAGAACACCATAGTTGAACCAAGTGTACATCTAATTTTTTTTTGAAATAAGTTAGCTAACAGTGTCTCATATGTTCATTACTAAATCATTCTATCCAGTGATTATGAATGTTTTTTTATCGCATCAATCAACATAAATGTGTTACAACTGTTCGGGTGATTTCATTATTTAACTTGCTAAAGTTATATATCATGAAATTAAACTATTGAATTTATTAACCATCCCATAAATATTTATGTAAATCAATTACTTAGATAAAAAATTGTTTAGAAATTGTTCACGATTTTTGTTTCATATTTAGGTCTAAAGTTATTGTTGTTTCTTTTTTTCCTTAAAAAAAAGATTATACTTAGCAAGGATGTGAACAACTAATTGTAGATGATTAAGTGAAGTTTCATATATAACATCTTTTAAGTATTTTAACAGTTTTAAGGAAGAAAGGGCCGCTGACATTCGTTTATTATGGGACATTTGATAGTCAATGATTCATAACTACTCCATAAATAGCAAATATTCAGGAATTATATCTATTTGTTTATTTCCATGATTTGTATGTAACATAGTTGAATGTGATTGTTTGAAACACGAAATGAAACTTTCACATTTAGATAGATATTCCACAGTTTATTCTCGTTGTAATTAACATTAAATATTACATCTATGCAGTCAGTCAAAATCGAAATAGAGCTGGGGATAGATATACTTTACCCCTTGATTAGTACGTAACCTCATTTGTTATTTATTGTCGAATCCATTTTTGTGATACAATCCATTCTATCCTTCTATAGACATACATTTTCCATATAACTATATATACGAATGTACAGCTTAAGTAAATGATTTCGTCGAAAAGAAAATTTTTTTCGCTGAATTCTCTTTTTCTTATTCAATGACACTATGGGTTATTTTAATTATCCAAGTTTATTTATTTATTTATTTAGTTGAAGTTAGAAATTAACACCGTTGGATGCCGGCTCAGTGGTTAAGTGCTCGCGCGCGAAACCAGTAGGTCCTGGGTTCGAATCTCGCAGAGGGGCGAGGTCGTGGATGCGCACTGCTGAAGAGTTCCACAATAGGACGAGACGGCCGTCCAGTGCTTCCAGGTTTTCCATGGTGGTCTAGCTTCAACTGACTCATGATCTTAACCATTGAAATTTATTTATCTATTTGAACACATAAATATTGGTACAAGAGGGCACCAAATATTAATGCGCCACACAAAACAATTGGAATAAGAAGAAAAATAACGACCAGATTAGTGTAAGGTAGTGTAATAATTTTAATAATGGGGGAGACGGAAAGGTACAACCAGAAGAAATCTTTCAGTTAAGGAAAATACGACCACTTTTTATGAAGAAAGTAAAAGAAGGTTACAGCAGGATCGCCACTGGCTTCTATTCTGAGCCATATCTGACACCATATCATACACTGACCACCTCTCCGCTTTATCCAACCGGTCCCAGAGTCAGCAAATAATGCACGACGTGGAATTCTCTGGGACGACATTCGTAGAACATGTCCAAGCCACCGAAATCGGTGTTTCAAGATGGGGACACCAATTGGATTATCATCTCTGCGCCTGAACACACGATGCTAAACCTCTGCATTACTGACATGGTGTTGCCACTGGATGTCAGCAATCCTTCGGAGACAACAATGATCAAACACAGAGTCGTCCAACATCCTCAACTCGGAGGGGCCGGGTTTCACAAGCGTAGAGCAGAACTGCCCTCACCGACGCGTTAAAGACCCGACCTTTTACAGCCAGACTAACACCACGAAGGCGCCAAAGATGGCCCAGATTGGCATAAGCCGCTCTGGCTTTCACTATACGTGCATTGATCTCATCACTCCCACTCCCACCAGCATTTATGCAGCTACCCAGATACACGAACTTCTCCACTACGTCTATCTGCTCACCATCCAGGGTGAGTACAGGATTGGAATCCTGCCAGTCTTGTACAAGTACTTTGCACTTCGAAGGTGCAAAGCACATACCATACCTACGGACACTGATTGCCAACTGATTAAGTGCGGATTGCATGCCTTGGGCATTATCGCACAGTAAGACAATATCGTCCGCATACTCAAGGTCGAGAAGTCTTTCTCCAGGCAACAGATCCACACCACCATTACTTACATCCATCAAGGCTGTTTCCAGAATGTCATCGATGGCAAAGTTGGTGAGGTATGGTGAGATTGAACAACCCTGTCTAACCTTACTGCTCGAATGGAACAATGGGGAGAGGTGGTTGTATGCCCTCACTCTGCCTGAGGTGTTTGTATATAGGGCTTTTGGGATGCTAATAAACTTCTCAGGCACACCCTTCTTCAATATACAATCCCAGGGAACAATGCTGTCCAACGAATCGAAGGCAGCCCTGATGTCAAGAAACACTACGATTATTGGCCTTTGTAAGTATGATTGTGTTATAACATTTGGTGGAGGGTGGAGAAATGATCAATACATCCTCGACCAGAACGAAACCCAGCCTGCTCCTCGCGAGTCAATCTTTCTCGGGTTTTGAACAACCTACGAAGTATGACGGAAGCCAATAGCTTGGACGCAATCGGAAGTAGACTTATCTCTCGATAGTTGATACAGGAACGACGTGAACCCTTTTTAAAGATAGGGACAACTATCGACTCATTCCATGATGTTGGTACACTCTCTAGCTCCCAGACTTTTGTAAACGACGTCGTCAGTTCCTTAGCCAGAGAGGCACCACCATCTTTAAAAAGAGCCGGAGGTAAGTCATCTGGGCCAGGTGATTTGTAGCGCTTCAAGAGTGGGAGCTCCTTGAGGACTTCCGCCTCATTTGTTGTATCAGTTGTCACCGGCCATGAAGGGCAGGACAGTCTAATCGATGTCGCCGAGGTAGCAGACCAGTTGAACTGCTACTCGAAAATTCTGTCCATCGTCCAAGACGTCGATAGGTGTTAGTGATTGGCATCTCGTCATCCTCACAGATTGTTTCGCTCACACCAGACTTCTTGCTGCCAGTGGTTGGGATGAGTTGGAAGAGCTTCCGGTAGTTACCAAATGCAGCTGCTGCTTCCAGCTCATTAGCACGCCACGACCACCAGGCTTCTCGGTCCTTACACAAGCTTTGCCCGATTTCATTACGTAACATCCTTCGTTTGTGGTCAAACTCACGGTCACCCGGAGTAGACCGACGGGCTTCAATGAGTTGTAAGGAGCATCTTACATCAGCAGGACGAATTATATTTAACCAGATGAAATGCTTAGGAGTTGAGTTCATGAAAAGATGCTATATCTTGTTTTGGCTGCCCCTCATTTTATTTCAAATTACTTCTTCGCCAGCCGACACTAAACAAACTTAACATATCCCAGACACCAGGTGATGAAGTTTTACAGTCTTGTCAACAGATTTATTATCTTTGGCATTTTAGGCCAAAACACAACAGTGCTCACGACATCTATGCAGTGCTCCAAAGACACAGCCAGGATCTTACAACCTCCAAAGATGATGGCTTGTTGTTCGAATTCATTTCCATTGTGAATTTTATGTCCTTGAAGATGTTGATCAGACTGTAGGTGTTTTCCAGCCCGTCTTCAGTGATGCAAAATCTGTCATCCACATTTTTGACTTGGTCACTGGTGTAATCGAGGCTTCCAGTCTCTACATCACTGCTTCTGCATTAAGTCCTGATATTCGAGATCCCATTGGTGTTCCTTTCGTTTGTTCGTAGGTTTTTTTGTTGAATTAAAACTACGTCGTTAATGGTAAATCAATGAGTTCTAGTAAACCTTGACTTTGAAACTTCGTGTGCTTTGGGAGATTTGTGTCGTTGGTGAGAAACAGGAATAGAGTTTCCTTTGCTAAGCTTGATTCTATTGAAGTGAATGAAACTTACATTGAAGGATATCATCAGTTCATCGTTGTTGATTTGAATCTGCTTAAGCTTTCTTAAGAATTGTATTGGATATTTGGAATGATGAAACGAATCCTTTAAACGTTTCAATATTATTGAAATTTCGATAAATTGTATATTAAGGTTCCGGGGAGTGATCAGATTTGACGTAGTGGGATGTTGGGTTTGTGTAGTTTCGGTCTATTGTAGAATCACCAAAGTGTAAACTTACAGCTTACACATGTTTTCTACCTCGACAGACATCGATTAATGTAAAGTGGATCGCTGCGTATTGATTAAGTTGTTTTTATATATTTAAGCCTCTTACGCCTCTCGAAGTATAGGCTGCCGACCAGTGGTCTCCAAGTAACTCTATCCGGGAATATTCTTTTCAGTCTTGGTTTCTGACTTCAGTTACCGAGATTATGTGTTCTTTGGTCTGCATTTTTTCCCTCTTGCCCCTAGCTTGAGCTTGTCTTGTGAGATACAGTCTAATGTTTTTCACAAAGTGTGTTCTATCCACCTCCAGCGTCTTTTCCTGATTTCCTCCACCTCTAGTTGCTGACTTATTCTCTTTCAGAGTAGATTATTGCTGATGGTCTCTAGTCAATACATTTGGGGTCACTTGCATAGACAGCTCTCTATGAATACTTGTACTCTTTGGTGATTTTGATAGCAACTCTCCAGGTTTCAGCTCCGTACAATAGCACTGTCTTAAAGTTAGTGTTGAAAATTGTGACTTTGGTTTTGTCTGAGAGTTGTTGTGAGTTACGTAAATTCTCTGATTGTAGGGATGTTGCCCTTCATTCTCTAACTCGTTCCTTGATATATGCGTCAAACCCTCCTTGTTTGTTATTGGTAGTGCCTAAATGTGTAAAGTTTTCCATCTCTTCAAGAACGTCACGATCAAGTGTGGTTTTGTTGGGTCTCTGTGTGCTGTATTTTAGGGTCTCGGTTTATCCATTGCGGAATTTGGCGTTTCACTGGTTTTCTTCGTCTGCATTTGTTTCTGTGCGTGGAATAGAAAGGTTAAGCCACCTAGAAATCCAAATAACGCTGCTGTCTATAATATTCACTGTATCATGTGTTTTCCCAAGCTATGAACCCACTTAGTAACTAAAGGAAAAAAATCTGAAGTAATCAGTCTTCACTTGGAATACATCTGTGAGCTGTCCTCCATTAGTAACTTTATAATTCAGTCCGTCGTAAGAGTTTTGTATGGTGGTGGCTATCTTTCCACGCGCTCCATATTGTTAAAATAGGTTCCATTAGGTTTTCCTATCCACACTATTAAATGCTTTCTCATAGTCACACGATTTCGTTGGGAAAATTGCAACCGACCTCAGTTCTACTGTGAGTAGGCGTACATAGATAGATGAAAATGTATGTTCATAGACGTAACTTTTTACAATTACTGAGGTAAGCTTCATATGAATTCACTTATACTTTACTCATCTTTGGATCGAATCGTATAAACATGTATATATTTTTTTTATCTCCATTTATTTCACTGTTATGATTTTTGTTTAACATACCATACCTTCTATTCAGTGTTTGATGTGTCGAATCGTGAGAGCTTTGATCATCTGACCAGTTGGATGGAAGAGTTAAAAACTTATTCAGACAATCCAAACATGATTAAACTTCTTGTTGGGAATAAAATTGATAATGTAAGTTGTTATAAAATAATCAAATATCTACAAACATGTACTTTTAATTAGATAGTTTTTATCATTATTTGACATTTTCTAATTGTCCATTAGTAACCTATTAAACTAAAGTATTAAGCTTGATAATAATATCTATTGTTAAATTATACAGTTAATAAAAGGAAAAAGTGAAAAAGAATATTCTACTTTCCTACTGGCTTTAATTTGAGATAATTAAAATTCCAATAGTTGAGATTATGAGTCAATTGAAGCTAGACCAGCATGGAAAACCTGGAAGCACTAGACGGCTGTTTCGTCCTATTGTGGGACTCTTCAGCAGTGCGCATCTACGACCCCACCTATCCGCCGACTACGTCGACGCATAGTAATTGCTGGCGTAGAAGTATGTTGGAAGTAAGCTATAGGCGGCCAAACCAACACATGGCATATGTCCGTGAAAATACAGAGTATTGGACTGAGCCATTTAGGTAAATGCGGACTACCTGGTTGTGGTCCGCTTGATTATTGTAACCAATGGTTATGACTTTGGTTGACATCAATTCACTTTTTGTATTCCCTTGTATTCTAAGTTCCCTACAAATTTTATTCATTTCATTAATTTATGTTTTGTTTCATCGCATCTTGGATGCCTGGTCTTTTCTATTATCATTACTACCTGTATTACTGTTGGATTTGCCGTTGTGTTTATGGGTTGTAGAAACATGAACCGATGTACACTTGTCAGGTTTCACATTACGTATAGTTGACTGGCCGATACTTAAAACACTTATTGCCTAGGTGTTGTATGAATTGTGATTTTACGGTTCCATCATGTTACATCTGGCATATCTACAATTATTGATATGACCGCTGCTCTTGTGCTACTATAAAGTAATCCCGGGGCGTTTAATTAAAATATTGTGTTTTATGTAGAATTGTAAGTTTTAACACCACTTATATATCTCAGTTGTAAACACTAGAATGCTAGATTCCTTTGTCCAGCTAACTTTGGATATTGAAGCGCTAGTTTTCAATCCCGACTTCTAGCCACATTTCATCGATATCACTTGACTTTTCCCCTTAATTTCTCCGAACCTCCTGAATACAACTATTTTCATGATTATGGAGTGCTTCAGTATTAAAGAATTATCATTGGTATTATTTTTGTTTTTACTCTAGATTTCCCGAGAGATTTCTCGTGAAGAGGGTCTTCGTTTTGCCCGTTTATACAGTATGCCGTACGCTGAAACAAGTGCGAAAACCAGTGAAGGTGTTAATCAGCTATTTTCTGATGTTGTTACTAGAATTTATAATCATTCTGAATTGTGGAATCAAGGAAAAAAGCGTGCAATTAATAATTCTTCAAGTCGTGCTCACTTAACTGAACTTGAAGATAAACAGACCCGTAGTGGCTGTTGTTCATAATATTCGTAGATGTTTTGGTATACATTCCTTACACTTTGCGAATTCATGACTTCACTTCATTATTGAAATCTCTTATTTTATCCAACTAAATACTATATATGGTATGCTATAACGGTTTACTGTTATTTTTTAATATTTTCTGATAACAGTTTATTACAGACTCATTCTTTAAGTTTATAGTGTAATTCAGTGTAAGGCTGTGATGTTATTTGTTAGCCAAAATTTTATGATGCTTCCATAGTTTTGCGCTGCTTTCCTTCATCTATTTTGACTAGATAAATATCTAAACAATAGGTTGTTTTATGTCCTTTTTTCGTTGGCTGTTTCATTGTTTCTTTTTCAAAAAAAGGATCAAAACAACTGAGACTATTTTCTTTATCCATTTAGACAGTTAGTTATTTTCTTTTCAAGATTTTTCTTGTTTATTTTATTGTACCTTTAAAAATTTCAATATTTCTGTTACTTGCTTTGAAATTGATCACACTGTTTTATAGAATTTTTTCGTCAAAGCTAGTATTATTTCAGGTGATTTTCATATGGTTAATACTAAATCAAAAGCGGATTCGAACAATCCCACTGTTTAGTATATTCATTATTATGGAGTCAGTATTGATAAATCCGAAACCATTTGAAGTTCTTACATAACGACTATACCTAATTGTAGTTGATGGAAATAAAACTGTCAAAGATTGTGCTAGTAAAAGAACTTGATTTTTGGAAAAGCTAAATCAGTAGTAATCCCCTTTGGCTACTTGTCCAATACTCTGACAGTTGTAGCTGGGACTGCTTAACATGATTCATGTAGATCATTAATCTTTGTTTCCTGGCGTTAGGCCAATGTGAAATACGGATTTGCATTATATGAAACTCGTTAGGGATTAAAGAGAAAAATCATTGGACGTATATGCATGGTTGTTCCCAGAAATCTAATTTTCTTACTGTGAATCATTGTAGTGATACTTTATAAGTGATAGCTATGTAGTTTAGTATAGACCCTAATGTGTATAAACGTTTTAGAACCAGTAAGGATGCCTTGAACAGTCGTCTGTGAATGAAATTAAATTCCGTACTTTTCTTAACATCTGGAGTTCAATGTGTACTATTTGTATTTCCTGGTAATACGAGTACTTTTGGGGTTGGATAATTCACATTTCAAAGATGTTCATGTATCATTGTAACGTTCACGAAACTGTAGATACCATGATTTGATTATCGACCCTGCGATTCAGGAGCCCTTCGAAAGGTTTAGGATTCTTTGATTATTAATCAAGCAGTGAACCATACTCTCTATACGTAAATATTTTCCTTAGATATTACAACGAAAATAATTCTCGGTGATTATATGGGGAAAACTGAAATTTTGTATAAATGTAAAATTATGTTAGTAACAATTCTTCTTGTTTTTTGCCCCAGTTGTGCAAATAAGAATGTTTAGAACTGACTTATTCTCTTTTTCTTATACAAAATTAAGCATCGCTCGCTAGTCTTACCTTCGAATGTCGCAATACGATTTTACCAAACTGACCTGCTGGATATCATATGTTTTCACCCCTTAATAGTGATGTTTTAGAAATAACTTGGGTTAAGAGAAGTTATTGTTGGAGAGGTTCGACAGAAGACAACCATTCTTTTTGGAGCGAATAGACTCCAACTGTCCTGTAGCGAGAACATTAGTTCTATTGGACGCGGAGAAGTCTCAACAAATTGACTCTTTGGGATTCAGCTCGAAGATGTAAAGTTAATGAATGTATTTAAGAAAGAATTAGGTAAAGAGTTCATCTCAAAGAAGATTTGTGTGATATCAAAACGCCTGGAAATACAACAGGTGTTCGTTAAGTACCTAAAAAAATACTGTTAGGAAATATCGGGTGAACTTCCACTGCCCGGAAGCTCAGAGGTCGAGGTATTGCAAAGTTAACTCAAGCAGAATGAAAAAATTCACAGGATGATTGTGACCATTATTGGGCGAGGAAATCTTAGGAGGAAGAAAGAGCAACTGAGATATCTAACCAGACAAGTGTTTGGAATGATCAAACATCACCTTTTAGCGAACTTGTCCTTGTAAAAAATAAGGGTAGTGGGAGTTTGAAAATTAAACCTAATCTTGTCTGACTGAGGTCGACCGCTGACCGTCCCAATATGTAAGAAACGACAAAAATTCTCTTATGTTAACCACTGAAGTATTGCTCTTGCTAGTATAATATTTAAAATGCTTCAGTAATCATCCGAAGTTGTCCATAGGTTTTAGGACAGAAACCAATGCTTTATTCTGATCGGTTTTCTCATTCGAAAGTGATATTCAACTCCGTCGGCTTAGAGGTTTAGTGGCAGTTTTTGTCATTGGAGGAGGGACTAGAAAAGTATCCAGACCTGAAAGCTCCTCAATAAGAACTTCGCTGTCGAGTTAGAACTTACAGAGAACTGTAATCGAAAACACTGAATTGCATTCGTCAGTGTTGCCTAATTTCTTCGCCCCTATTTAGCTCCATTGTCATTCTTTTTGAGATGCTCATCATCCAGCTTATTAGGGATTGATTTCCTACCTGACAACCTTCGTCTTCTCATCGTATTGTCGAGATATTAAATTAAAGTATGCAGATGACAGAGTTCTATTTAGTGAAGACGCTGACAAAATGCAGGGTGTTCTGATTTCTTTGAACAACAATACGAACATATTCGGGGTGCGTATCTTTGTTCTTAAATGTATAATGTTGCTTGAGGACTGCTCTGCATTAACAACTAAACTAATTATAGGGAGTGAATTAGTTGAGTGTACCGACCACTTCAATTATCTTAGTTTTAATAAACCTGCTGAGTTGGTGGCTGACGAAATCTAGGCACAGTGCTAGGAGACTCGATTGGCTTTCGCCAGCCTACGTTATTTGTGGTGCACGTGAAATGTATGTCTGTCAATGATGTGACGAGCACACTGTGCATTAGTTCATTCTATCTATCTTTTTCTACGGACACGATACTTGGCTAATGAAGGTAAAAGACGTCAAAAGTCTCCAAATAAGTATATGATTATATGTATTTCCGAAGCATTGTTCATGTATAGTAATACAACCAAGTGAACAGTTTCGAGGATAGACATAGGATACTTGATAAAAATACGCGAATCCATTGATCAATTACGAACCTTTATTGAATGAGGTGGTTAGAAAATATGTTATAAATCCCTAAGAACCTTCTACTTCGACCCGTAATGCTGATTGGGATTAGCATAGATAAGAAGGAATCTAAGAGAGTTCAAACCAAATTAAATAGTCAATTTCGTTGGACTGTGGTCGTGTGGCATGGCAGAATTTTTGTATCTGGCTGCACAGACTGACATAAACATAACAAGTGTGTAAATATCGTGCTGTATGCATGATTAGATGGCCTTGAATTCGGGCCTGTACGGTGTTATGAAAGTCAGTTGTCGCGGACCCTAAAGCAGGGTTCAAGCAACCCTTCACTCTCTGATTTTCAATCGTCTCACAGATAACGTCATTTTGCAACAAAAATAATCTTTAAATTGTTCCGTTCTCAGTAAATAATATATGGGTCTATTATACAAGGTCCAACCTCTCACAATATTCTCACTGTGTGCTAAAAATTAGCGAAAAACACTTCTCTAATTCTCTTTCACCTAATATTATTAAAAATCTGAAAAATAATCCCGGTAGGATGCAAATGATCAATGTATGAAAATTAGCATTTTAAGAAAGCATGACAGGAATTCAAGTTCAATCTAAGCATACACACAAAGTACTGAAAAGTGAAAATGTTACATAATAAACTATTTTTTTAACAGTTTGTTATGATGAGTTCACCTGTAGACAGTCTTTTACACTTAATTTCATATTTTACATAAACACTTAACATAAACAAAATGTTTGTCATAGCAAAAAATTAGAATTATAAACATAATCAAATAAAGTAGGATGATAATGATGATGATGTAAAACGATTTTAAAAAAATTCAATTTACAGTATCATAACAACACAAAATCCGGAATTAAAGATTCATGAATTAATTACACTTTCTCTTATCGTACAATAATTATATACACTGATTTCATTTTAAAGCAATATATAATCAGCATTACTATGTCGTTGTTGTTCACCTGAAGTTAATGGGTTTTTCGCAGTTACAATAATTGAAGAGGTTTTATGTTTAGCCTTTTGAGATGATAATGATAATCCATATGTTTGTAGATCATTAAACACTTTCTTTTTTATTGTATTGTATCCTAGTTGTCAATGTTGTATTGTTTTGTGAAAAGAAGAATAAGTATCAGTGATTAGCTTGCATTTATAGTGCGATTAGTTAGACATAATTAACATCTCATCCATGTCAGCAGACAACAATTCTTGCAGATATTCAAAAACCCTTCTATTCCTTTATAGGTATACCTTGTTAAACATCGGGGAATCTCTGTAAATTATTGATCCCAGGTAGTGACTTTCCATTTTAATTAGTGTTTTGGCTAATTAAGTATTTTTTGCTTTGACTAAATTATTTGAATAGTACAGGCTACTAAGCTAACGTAATTAAGGAAGAAGTCTACGGAGATTGTCTAACTTGAAGTTAGTTTATTTGACAAAATAACACCTATTGTTAGGAGTTGTAAAGATTGTTGAACTTTATTGAAATCATGAACCGATTCAAGTTAGACCACCATTGGAAACATGGAAGTATTTGATGAACGTTTCGTCATACTATGGGACTCTTCATCAGGGAGAATTCACAAGCCCACAGGATTTCAATGGTGGTCGAACTTAGGTGGGTTCACGATTTCAATTGAATCGGTATGTATTAAAAAACCATAGGGCATTGTAAAGTTATTCCTCCTGAGAAGTACGGAATCACCATTAAACACCTATTTATTGTTATGCGGATTTCCCTTATTCTCCTCTAATGTTAGTTTGTAATGCTATTGAATATACAGCTTTAACTCATGTGAAGCAAGTGAATATATTTTTATATTTAAGTGCAGTAATACGAAATATTAGAATTGGAAAATAAAGTATTCTTATCAAAGAATAACACAAATAATTAGTCCAAGAAAAGTAAGTAATTTACCGGACTCAAACTTTAACTAAATCATCGAAGTCTTCTCATCTAGGCTAATCATCAAAACATCACTGTCGCTATCTCGTAAAAATAAAGTTAGTTTATAACTGTGATCAGTCTGTTGCAAGAACTTGTGATATACATATGATACAGATCCTTCATGTAACGCCTTATTGCAAAATGAACATCAGCTCAGCCCAAAATTGATAAGATTGGAAATATTTAAACTTAATATGGTTAATAAAGGGATCTTCTACAGACTTTAATGTGAAACATCATTAATACTAAGTTTCTCTAAGGTAACTTTTTCTATCACAATATACACCATTTCAAGAAATAATATATAATAAGGAGCACTAAACATTTATTTCATTCTATATTTAGGAAGAAGTTTTCAACATTATACTTCTATAGGAAGTCTGATCCAAAATGTTCAGACCTATGGTCTTTGACATTGTCAGAAGTCATTATAGTTCACTTTCGTCGAATTCCAGTCTAGGGAGAAACAGTTGTCTAGTGTCACCTGGTTTTCTGTAGGTAATATGTGTTCATAGAAGATATTTCCACATCTAACAGGATTTACAAAGAACTATTCACAATTTTTTAAAGCTGTTTGAATAGTATGAAGACTACTATGAACTGATCTAAGAAATGTTTAATTTTCAATATGTGCCATTTAGTTTCGTACCTTACCGTAGTCACTCATTTTTATCGGCAGTCATCCGATAACCAACCATATGTCTGAAATTAAACAATCGATTAAAATAGTCTTAAGAAATTATACAGTATGATTAATCAATCTAATCTCAACTATCATTCTTAGACTTAAATTAACTGATACATTTTGATATAAATATACTGCTACTCGTCATCTGACAATTGCAAATTTTTGATTTTATTTAACTTATGAAAATCAGTACCTAATTAGAGGCTTACGAAATCAACATTGAGTCATAATTTTAGTAATGTTAACTAGCAGTCCCTATATCCATCTATTTCAATTAATGAATTGTTATTCAAACCTGTCATTACAACAAATGATTCACTATATCCAAGTATTCTTTTGATAAATCGATAAAGTGAGAATTAAAAAAAAAAAGTGAAACCTTCAGATTATATTTACTTGTTACTACTTATCTTTTTGATTAGCTGATTGCTTAATTGTGTTAATAGTGCAATACATTTTAATTTTAACTTAGAAAAATATATGTTGAACATAAAATGTACCTATTTATCTTTGTGAAATGACTATAACGTATAGCGATGTTAAAATACAGAAAAATACGAGAGAAGACATACTCAGTAAAACTGTTGTAACTCATTCACTGTATTTCTGATTGCTATTAATACCATCTATATTGTTTATTAAATAGGATTAAGTGAATGTTTTGTATAGTATTAATTTATCAATCTTTTGTGGAACATAAACTTGGAATCTTGAAGGGAAACAGAAAAGAGGAAGGCCAAAAAAACATATTACGTTGGGAAATAGAAGCAGATATGAAAAGGAGGAATAACAACTGGAAAGAGATGGAAAAGATTACTCAGGACAGGGTTGGATGGTGAATGCTGGTGGGCGGCCTGTGCTTCTCTACGAGGAGTAACAGGCGTAAGTAAGTAAGTAGTGAAACATAAACAATATTTGAAAAAGAATGAATAAATAAATATAGTACAAATCTATCCTGATTGAAAATAATCTCTGAAAATGAATATTTATTATAATAGAGAAAATTGTAATGACTGTAATGCATTGTAATAGACAAGTATTAGATAACAAGATAAATATATGTTTAATCTATATTATCCATACTCACAATACTTAACTGATCTGAGAATTAAAAATGAAAAGTTGGGATTGCATGCAGTTTAACATTGCTTTTGTTATATAACAATGAATAAATTTATCATTTTCATTAGTTCATTCTCTTCAGTAACTTATAATAATATTCACGATGTAAATAGAAAGGATGTTTTTATAAAAAAAATCATTAAGACCACATTCTTGAGTTAAACAACTTACTTTCTCATAGATAAAATGAAAATTTTATCGTATATGAAATAAATAGCTGGAAAAATGATGACTTAATACTAACGTACAAACCCGTTCACTTCTAAAACGAACATACAGAATGTGTCTTACTGTTATGTCAATATCTCAAATAGTATTTAGTTTGTATTTTTAATTTTATGGGTGAAAAGATTCATACTATGAACTAACAGAACAAGTAACTTTGGTTATTTTTGTTATTTCAAATAACTGCGTGTAAAATCAATACAAATAGGTGAGTGATGAAGAAAATCAGCAATGTGTCATAAAGCCCTGACTGATTATTATTTCATATTTCCATATAGTCATTATCACAATATATCCGACACCCAAAGCTTATACTTTTTACTGCTACTGCACTAGACGGCTGTTTCATCCCGGTATGAGGTCTCTCAGTGATGCGGTCCATGACTTTATTAGAGATCGCACACAAGACCTTGAAGCCTCATGGTGACCTATTAACCTTCAGACCACTGATATGGCATGTGATGGTATTGCGTGATCATTTTCCATTACCTTCGGTGGATAGATGTCTCATAACTGACATGGTCAAACTTGAATAATGCTTCTCCTCAAAATCAAAATTACGTTATTCACCACTAAAGTTACAGTCATTAATAACAAGGTGTCCGGTCAATGATTTTATTTGTATAGAATTGAATAGTTCCAGTAGTCTTACCTTTTGTTAATCAGTATTGACTGACCAATCGATAATTCAATGGACTTTTATCGACACACTCAGAAACTTCAACATGAGAAGCATTCACAATTCATTTCACAACTAAAACATTAATAAAAAGTCTATCAACTATGCCAAAATGTATTGACATCTTAGTTTTACCTTCCACCAGTGTCTATTTTTAAAGTGTCTCAAACTAAAGTAAAAACATATTTTCAGTGTTTCTAGATAACCAGTAGTTTTCTAGTTCCTGCTACATCATCTAACGAACACTAGCTTCAAAATAAACAATTTTTACAAACCCTCTAATAAATTAAAAAGATTATTAATTTGGATATAGAATTGTAGAGCCTGAAGATAATTTAATGAAAAGAATGTACTTCGTTCATAAATCTGTCTTTAGTGAAAAATTATGGACAAAAGCAAAATAAAATAGCATGTTGATTGAAGCAGTATTGAATTCAAATAAAGTGAATCAAAACCTACCTTCATTCTCATTTTGAATCTGTACACCATTTAATTTTGGATTATTAATTTTATCCCAATGATTAGTTAGAATAAAATTATCTGTTCGTCTGAAAGGTGTAACATCTTCTCGATCACTTTCAGATGAACTTGACTGAGATTGATCTGTTAAACAATGAAGAACAATTATTCGATAATAATAAAATCAAACTATCTATTCTGAATTAAAGGTCAATTTTCAGATTGCAGTTAAGATATTCATTCTTCTGATGCTCTGGGTAAAAACAATAACTGTGTCACATTTATATTTTATAAAAATAACATATGATTTATAAGCATTAAACATGCAGTAATTGGTATAAATATCATTTCGGTAACATGTACTTTAGCTATGAGACACGTTTTCTGTTTGAGAATTAATGACACAAACGGAATGTTAAATGAGAACTGAGTAGTGCATGATTTGAATCTAGCAACGCATTTGTTTTATCAGCTTCCTGTGGTCAAACAGTTTTGAAATATACAACTACACATTAAGACTTAAGAAGAATGCTCAATACTCTTTTGTACAGCTGAATAATACAAACTTATCATTCTATTCATGTTAGCCTAAAGAAATCGTCAATCGATTTTTCCATCCTAATCTTTCACCTTGATTTGATTCAGCAATTTAGATTACAGACCTATTAAAAGGGTTATTGTTAGTGAAAATGATTACTTCACATAAAGATTGATTAAAGAAACAATTAAGTGATTGAAAAAATTCTTTTACCACAGAATTTAACTGAAATAAATAAACAAAGTGTCTTTCTTTAATTTCAACTTCACTTAAACATGCTACGATTTTAAGATCAAATAGAATTCTTTTTACGAAGAAACATATAACATTATAGAAAGGATAAATTGACGACCGATTCATCTTTCCTTACAAAGATAACTTTACTTTATAATACAGGATTATTTCGATTTTAATTTAACGCCTACATATGGTTGATAAAAAGACAAAACTATAAAAGCATTGGGAAAAATATTTGCTTGTCGTTCTTGAGAATATTTTAACTAACAACAGTGAATCTGTCTATTCAGCATCCTTTCTTACAGTAAATCAACCTGTAGGCATAAAACTGATGCTTAACGTCGAAAATTCCGCCATTCTTCAATGTTGATCTGTCTAAAGATATTACCAATCAATTCAAAAGTTCATTTTTTGGGGGTATTCTATGTTTCTTATCAAACAACTGATATATACCAGGTGATTAACAATTAAACAATAATCAGTATAGAGTTGTGGAGGTTGTTGAGCTTTTGATTGAGATACTGAATCGATCAATATTAGACCACTAATGAAAACCCAGAAGCACTGAACAGCCGTTTCGTCCTAGTATGGGACTCAGCAGCGCACATCCACGATCTCGCACGCCAATGCTTAACCTCTAGACCACTGGGCTGGCATCCAACGGTGCTAATGTCTAACTTTAACCAATCCATGATATTGCGCGACCGCCGAGGAGTCCTACCCTATAACGAAACGGCAGTCCAGTGCTTCCAGATTTTCAATGGTGGTCTAACATTGATCCATTCATTATTTCAATCGGAACTAAACAATCGTATAATTTTCTTTTTTTATTAAAATAACACATAGAAAAATGTTTAACATGAAATTCGCGCACAGATACTGAATAGACGCAAGGACATTACTCACTGAAATCGTTGTTGTTTGTATTTTTTACAATATTTTTCGAATTATCGGTTTGTGATTGAGAGTTTGAGTGTGAATGATGGTTTTTGTATGGCTGTTTAAGTGTAAAAGCATTTGAGTTCCTAGGAGAGAAATGAGAACAAGAGATAATAAGTAAACACGCTGAATTATTGTGACCATTATTCAAAGATACTATCATGTTTTGACCATTGTAGCAAAACTATAGCCTGTAAATTACATATCGATTACTAAGAGAGTAAAGTAGGAAAAAGTATTTTGCGCATATTTTACAAATGTACTTCATTTATGTGATGCTGATACTTCGTAATTACTTACTCCTGTTACCCCTAGTGTACTATAGGCTACCAACCAAGAAGAATTACACGGAAGGCAAATATGAGTCTAAATTAGGTACTGTCTTTGGTAGAAATAAGTCTAAGAATTATAAATTTTATAGAATTTACAAAAGAAGGAGGAAAATAAGTAATTTTGAGTTTAATAATGACAACTAACTTCATAAGTCACCACTAAACAATCAGAAAAAAAAGCAAACTGGATTTTCACACTTAACTCTGTTTACCTTACTAACTGGATGGATGATAGATTTTTACAATTCATTATATATCTGATAAAAGTTTGATATCTATTTAAATAGCTTTAGAATAAGTGTATACAACTAAAATCATATTAAATTTTTATATTCAGCTACAATTTATTGATGTTTTGAGAGAAACTAAGGAGTTCTCACCGGTTTTAGCATTGATTTATTTAAGTTGATTTAAACTAAAGAAAAAAAATTAACAAATCAAGTTGATTTTAACCTCAGTTAATAAAATTAATCGATTATGTACGTGTAAGACATACCATAAAGAGAAAATTATTTTAGAATATAAGATTTCCTCTGTTACGTTTAAGAAGTCACTGTTATAATTTCTCATTTGTGCCAAAAATTATATCTGGTCAACCGGTGATAACACATAGATTATTTCATCGCAAAGCCATGAAACAATTCAGTTCACCAAGATGGAGAACGGTATGATATGTTAATGTATCCTAAGATGACCTGATTCCAACTGATTAAGATTTGCTAATAACATACATTTATGTAATCATCACACTTCATTTACAGTTTCTTTCTATGATACATAAACTGAAAGTATAATAATAATAATAATAATCTTATTCTAAAACAGTGAATAAATGGGTCGTTTTCCATAGTCAGTAGAAATTTTATGTAAAATTAATACGTGGAACAACTAACGTTCCTGAATTTATTACTCTGTATTCTCTTAATCAAAGTGACAGACACATATGAATACAATGGTAACATGATCTCAATGTATGAAGTTATTTTATAGTTAGTTATAATTTTAACTCCATAGATAAATAATCGCTATGTGTGATTTTAGAAATTGTAATTGCCTTATATGTAATGTGTTTTTTAAAATTTATAATTGGTAATTATAAAAAAAAACGTAAATGTGATTCTTTTTTTTTTAAATTAAGGAATTCACATACCAAATTTCTTGATCAACAAAATCAGGATTAACATTGTGATTAGTTACATTTCCTGTAGATGATTTAATCCAGAAGAAAAATCCAATCGCATTCAGTAAAAATATCATAGTTGAAGTTAAAAACAAAAACAAACAAATAAACAAAATAATGTATTAGTTAAATCATTGGACGAAATAGGAAGTAAATAGATTCCTATTCTATTTATGAGAGTAAGAAGAAAATTGGTTACAATATGAAAAATGAAAATCAGAGCAGTCAATAATTTTTAACTACTTGCTTAGATTAAAATAGAAGGGAATAAACAAAAACTGCCATAACAATCAAACAAGGAAGTGAATCGACTATAATCTTGAAAAAACTGTAACTAGAGCAAAATGTCATTCGAACAATTGTAAATTATGTTGAAGAAACCATAAAACAAGTATAATTACTTTGGAAGAATGTGAAATACATGATCCCATTCCTCGTTAATGGAAATTTACTTACTTACGTCTGTTACCACTCGAGAAGGAGCATAGGCCGCTCAACAGCATTTTCCATACAAATCTGTCCCGGGTAATCATTACCAGTTGTTTCCGGTGGTTATTCATCTTCTCGATGTCCACATCCAATTCTCGACGTACTGTATTCTTTTGTCTTCCCCTTTTCCGTTTCCCTTCAGAATTCCAAGTTAAGGCTTGCATCGTGACGCAGTTTCATGATTCTCGCAATGTATGTCTTATCCACTTCTAACGTTTTTTCCTAATTTCCTCTTCAGACAAAGCTGGTTTGTTCTCTCCCACAGTAGGTTCTTGCTGATGGTATCCAGCCAACTGACATTCAGTACCTTGTGTACACGATTGTTTATAAATACTCCTACTGTGGTGTGTGCTACTTATATTGATATAAATATTATATGTCGCGAGTTAAAACGTAATATCTGGCAGCAGAAGATGAGAGGAAGATCAAGAAAAGAAGAGCGAGAACACAATGTAATTTGTTAGAAAACGCATGAGCAATGGAATGGGAGACAATGGATTGATATTTGCAACAGAAACAGTCCAGTTTGATATGATGCATTAATGTTTTGCAAATTGACGATTTACTATATGGTATTCAGGTTTTATTGAGATAGTCTGTAATTTTCGTGCTAAATACATTCGATTGTCCCCACCCGTATTCTTGTTCACTACACGACCTTCTTAGTGGTGGTCGTGGTAGTTCTCCAAGTTTCAGACCCATGCTGTAGAACTGTCTTGACGTTCGTAATGAAGATTCTGACTTTATTGTGAGTTGGCAGTTGTTTTCAGTTCCATATGTTCATCAACTGTAGTAATGCTGTCTTTGCTTTGCCAATACTTGCCTCCACATCTGCACTATATTCTCCTTGTTCATCAATGATGCTGACCAGGTACGCAAACGTTTCCACATCTTCCAGAGTTTCTCCATCAACTGTGATTGGTCTGGTTGGTGTTCTCTGTGTTGTATTTGAGGATGTTTCTTTTTCCCTTGTGTATGTTGGGACCCACTAACTCAAAGTTTGCTGTTACACTGTTTGCCTTGACCTGCATTTGTTGGTGTGAGTGTGTGTGAGAGAGAGTGTGAGAGAGAGATAGAAGAGCCAGGTCATCTGCAAAGTTCTAATCATTTAGCTGCATTTAAACTGTCCATTGTATTCCGTGTTTCCGCTCAGACGTGGAGGTCTTCATGATCTAGTCAAGGACCAGAAGTAAGAGAAAGAGTGCAAGTAGTCAGCCTTGTCTGACATCAATTTTTATTTAAAATGGGTATGTTAGCTGTCCTGCATGCACAACTTTGCACTCAAGTCCGTAGTATGAATTTCGGATGATGCTGATGATCTACTCAGGTACGCCATAGTGTCGAAGATGTTTCCATAATGTTCTCCTATGCACACTGTCAAACAGTTTTTCACAATGAACAGTGAATAAAGTTTAATTATAAATACATCAGTTGTAAACAATTACACTTTGGCACACCGTACTACAAAAATGGATGCTTTTATCATGACAGATCAAATGACTAAATAACATGTTATAAATTGTAGATAAATCAATAGATGTGGAGTTCCATAGTCAGATTAAAAATTAAAATAATTCTGTCACTCTAAAGTACATTTTTTATGAACACCCAGATGAAAGATAAAACATAAATTATACCTCATCATAAATAAAATACTTTCGAAATATATTTAAGGACTCCAGAACAGAAAACCTAAAAAAGATTGATTTATTTGCTGCGTAACAATATTAATATATGTTTATGTCTTCTGGTTGATTGGAGGTACGCTTATCAATAAAAATAACATTCACCAGAACCAAATTTATTTGAGATAGCTAAAATTGGTCAGATAGTAGCCTTAGATCTACAATTCAATCTAGCTGTTACTCATAAATAAAGTTTATCTCTAATGCATAGAAGGTAGCTGCTTGTATACAGATTTGAATCACTTTATATTTTGTGGAATATTTAAACTCACATAAATATAATGTTTGCTGGGGTGTTGTGATAAAAGATAATGTATTTGAAGCTTATTACCTAGGTTGAAATACATATAAACATAATACAGAGGATGTTAAACTATCCAAGGGACTGGTCACTGATTACCTTGTTATTTTTATTTCTGAAATTTATATTTGTTTTTCGCCCCAAAACATCCTATGAGAGCTATCTTTTCGTTTCACGACATTTAAAGACACTATTTTATTTATTAATCCGTGACTTTCAGTATAATCGAATTCTCCTGTTTTCAGGGCCACTATATTTGTATTTATATACTTATTACTCACCCAAATTATATTTTTTCAGTCTCTCCTAATAAATCCTTCTTGTAAGATATGAACTTTTGGAGTAGCCTGAGCTGCAAGAAAACAGGGAGTAGTGGTATCCAGTTATCAAGGCGAAATTAAGATTTATTCCAATTAATTCAAGATTCAGCATCTAATCACATCTAAATTAGTCAGATAATGATAAATTGTATTGATATTCATTTTTAGTGCACGAATATGATGGTGCCAATGGTGTATTGAGCATAACAAGTAACTTGTTAAATAACATTCATTTACCACAGAAACTATATTCAAACAACAATCTATTTTCTTAATAGATGTATATTACATTTACTACAATTGAGCGATTGTATGTTTAACAGTTTACAATAAAAATTAAGGCTAGATAATTTCATTACTTACCAAATTCATTGCGTGACACTCTAACTTTTAAAGCAGCCATTTCAAAACATGCTGGAATGGCTCGATTATCAGGTTCAACGAATTTTGATTGACGTGAAATATTACCGGAATTTCGTCGTGCTTCTCGTTGATTCATTAATTCTTCATGACTTTTATTTGTTTGTATTTTTGAATCTGAATCTATGTTGTCATGGTCTGAATCTATAGATAATAGATTTTTAAAAGGGGATATAAGTAAACATTTAAAAAAACGATGTTGGCGAAGATTGAAATTCGCAAAACAGATAGTGAAATTTGTTACTTTCAAAGTTATACATAATAAAGTCGGTCTTATTTCAGCATGATATAAACGAGTTATTTTTCGACTGAATAATCAAGTCATCTATTATTCCATCTCCCGAGCACTATTTAATAACGACTGAAGGTCGATTCAAGGTGGCTACCATTATTAATGTTTTACAGCACTTCCATTTCCTTTTTTGATTTAATTGCTTGTGTCAAGCGTAGTATATTCTGTGGATCAAACATGTTGATGCTCAGAAAACTACCATTGCATAATTTATTTCTCGGCGTTAGCTTAGTTCATTCGTCACCTTTTAAAATAAATCTTGCAAATAGCATTTTACTGAAACATATAGAATTGGTATGAGCTATGTAACCAATGGTTAGCTTGGGGTGTGTGCTACTTATAATAACATAAGTAGTATATGATTTTAGTCGTGAACAGAAGGTCTGGCAGCACAGAGACAATAGGATCAAACAGTAAAGAATGGAAACAGGATGTAATGTGTATGAAAATGCAATAACAATGACGTCTGAGTCATTTTGAGACAATCGATGGACATTTTGCAAATTAAGCCTTTACTTTATGATTGTTAGATTTTATTAACAAGTCCTGTAATTTTGTGTTAAATATATTCAATTGTCCCCACCATGGTTCTTTTCACTACAAGCTTACTCATTTATACCAAAAACAGCGAAAATATATATTAATGCCTTGATTTAACATTTGAAGTACCAATAATAAGCCAAAAATCAAAGAAACATATTAGTAAATTTCTATAATATGTAACTAACTGGTCAATTTAACTAGTACATAACTATTAGAAAACCTTTGAATGAGAAATTCACCCATAAACTATAATAGTGGATAAAATTTAGTACACACTTGTAGTGAACAAAGACGCTACACCACACACTAACTTTGAAATGAATATATATATATATATATATATATATATATATATATATATATGGACTTATGAATTATATTTGTTAAAGAAGTATAAAGAATAAAGAGGTCAACTTTTGGATAATTACTTACTATTACAACCTAATAAAAATTACCACATATAGTTATGTTAAGAATTTTCTTCTAAAAAAACAATTTAATATTATTGCCAGTTTCTTCAAACATTGATTCTGTGATGAATTTATTGTTTAATAAGATGTTACATCAAATGTTTTAATTTTCGAGTATATTTATTACTAACTCTTTACTCAATGCTCAATTTATTTGAAACTATCAAGTCCAACCTTAAGATTGACAACTATATTATTTATATTACCATTAAATATTTTTATTAGAAGTTAATATTTTTGATCGGTTAGCAAATAGTGGTATTACATTTCGAAATCAGCTGAAGCGATTTTGAATGACATAGTAGCTGCACATAGTTATGTTATTTTATCAAGGAATAACGATTGACTCGACAGATTCATTGTTGTCAGTATGGATGTTACTCAACTAAACAGTTGTATAGATCAGTAAACTTGAGTTCTTTACACCCAATTGTTTTTGGTGATTGCAAAAGTTATAGGATTTAAGCAATAATAACTTGTCAAAAAGTCCACTAAATCAGTAGAAGTCCCATCATTCACTGAAATTATTAGTCAAAAATAAAGTTAATTTTCGATTATATTAAAGTTTCAACAGCCGACCCTCAGTTAAATGTCTAATTATTAAAATAAATTTGAACTAATGAAAATTTTTAACATGATACTAGGCTTTTACAATTTTTAAAAAATAGTAGATCTATGTGCTGTCAATTCTAACAAAGTGGTAGAAAAATTAACATCAAACTTGTAGTTACTTAAAGAATCCTTTTTTTTATACACCTCAGTGATGCTTCATGATGCATGCTGCTTGTCCTTGATATAGCAAAAACACCAAATTCCTGTATAAATTCAAAAGCTGGAATGTTTCATTACACTAGTTTAAGCCATGTACCTTAAAATGTGTACATATGCAAACTTCCCAAGTTTAGGGCTTATTAAACGATAAACTGTTCCTTTATTGCAGATTCCATTCAATGAATAGGACTTGATCATAAAATAATTCGGTTTACTATTGTTCGTCGTACAGTAAGAACAGCGAAACAGTAATGGCTGAAGTATATGATCTAGCTTTAATTAATTGATAATAAGAAGAGTTTAATCGTGAAATAAAAGCGAACAATGTTTTTTCTCTAATGAAGTTTTATTACTCATTAGTAGCGTAGTCAAATCAATGTATGTTGACCGTTACGTATATTCTATCCAAAAATTTGTTCATTTAGCGTTAAAAGAAAATGCTGCATATTAAAAACTTTAATATGAGATATCATCCAGTTTCCTTTTCTTTTCAACCTAATCTCTTACCTAAGACATACATATGTATTAACTTTCTTATTTCATCTATAGTTACAATGAGAAACTACACTCTATTAAATATTTTCAAGTATTTAAAAAAGAAAACCTTAAAAATCACTTAAATGAATTTTCATTTCGATTTATTACAAAATAAAACATAAATTTTTTAACAGAATGAGATTCAATTGATAAATTTCTGATAATAACTGAAGTTGAAAAAATGTTGTGATTATTATTAACTTGGAATCAAACAGTTGAATGTTTGTCTAAATTTCATACTATAATTTCTTGTTCTAACTTGTAATGAATATACACTCTTGGTATTTATTTTAGCTCTGTTGGGATAACAGTTTGGTCTAGTAACTAAAAAAGGTATATATATACTTGAATTTCTAGTAAATACATAACAAAATGTAAATATGTCAAGTCAATTTATTGAATATTCATAACATCAATGAGATGGTACAATTTATTTTGTAAAGTATATTTTTCAGTTTATACAATTAGTAAAGAAAACGTAATAAAATACTAGTGACATAACATAAATAACACAAGCAAATTATATTTGATAAGTAGTCATAGCATAATGTAAAAAATCATTTTCAGAAATAATATCAAAGTAAATAAAGAAATGAAAGTTAATTACCCATAATTAATTTTTCTTCAAATGCTCCAGGCAGTTGAAAAGTAACAGCTCTAGATTTAGTTGGTTTGAGAACTTCATTAAAAAATTTGGAACTTGAACCATCTTCCATAAAATTTCGTTTATCATGATTAATGATACTATTATGATTGTTTAAAAGTTCACAACTTTCGGGATAATATTTTTTACTTTTTTGTTGAAGACAAAAAGAATCAGGATCTTGTTCCGTATTATTGTTTGAGCTAAGAAGACAAGATTTTTGCTTGTTGGTTTCGTTAGTAACAAATGTTGTGCGTACCATATCAGACAGACTTGGATGAGATAATGACCGGGTTAATTCTGACTCACAAACAATAACTTTATCTCCAGTAGAACAAGCAGCAATAGATTGAATAGATCTAGGTGAACTTGATTCAGATAAAGTAGGTGAAGCTGCTGATGAAGAAGTCATTGGTGAGAAAATAGTTTTTAAACATTCATTTTCTTGACTAAGATCATCATCTTCAAGTTCATCTAGAGATTTTCGAGGTGCACAGATAAGTCCCAAAGCAAATACTAATATTAAAGGGATTAATCCTAATGCTGATAAAAACAAAATTTGAGAAAATTACTTACAAAATTATAAGTAGATTATTGTCTGGTTTAATAAGATAAATTGTTAATGATTGAAAATTATTTAGAAAAAAATAAAATATTATGATGAAATTGTCATCATTACTAAACTATGTATATTCATTTCAACATATTGTCTTTTTTCCAGATGTTTCACCGTATAAAGATGAAATAAAACTACTGATTGAAATTTATGCAAGAAATGCTAATTTATTTTCTGATATACCATTTCATGATATATATACATAAATTACCATGATAGAATAAGTTAATACATAAGAAAGTAAATCAGTCTATAATCAACATAATCAGCATATATTTTCCTTATTTATCTTCATGATGAATATTCAAGCCTTTAACAACAAAACTATTATTAACTTCCCTGATAAAAAGATAATGTTTTTTATGCCTTTGTTCGATCTACCTCACTATTATCATGTTTAATAGAATCTTATTATCACTATTATTGTAATTATTAGCATCCTGAAAAATAAGTACATATATGTATGAGATTGTACAGCTTTGAAAATGAATTCGCGGAAAAGAGATCCCTTCGCTGAATCAATTTTCCTTATTTTATGTCTCAGTGGGTATATTCCGTTTACTTTTTACTGGCCATCAAACTTTATTTTAAATTTATTTAAATATTACAAAATCATTATCCGTCTCAACATGTTTCTAAGTGTAAACATTTTGGAACAATCCAAGACAGTAAAAATGATGAGGAGTACACAAATTTATTTATTTCTAATTACAGGGAAAAACAGCTAGTTTTAACTAAGAAAAAAGCTAGTTGGAAAATATAATAAACCAGAGCAAACAACCAAGAACGAAGAGGGCAAACCAATCACTGAAAGTTGCCAATAGTGGAACAGAGGGGTACAGCACCTATAAATATCTGCATTAATGCTCCCCGTTCTCTAAAGATTCAGGAGGAAGGACAAGTACCGAGAAATTGGAAAGGACACTTCATCAAGTTACAAAAGTAAAGAGATCTCAGCAAGTAATAAATCTACAGATGCATCAGACTACTGTCAATATAATAAAAAGTTTTCAACGGTATTCTTGGGTTGAAATAAAAGTTCAGTATACTCTCAACTTCGACATCAACAAACCGGCTTTAGTAATGATAGATTATGTACCGAACAGTCAATCGAAGAGAACTCATCACCGTATATCAGGTACCTTGAATATAAGAAAGCATTTGAAAGAGCGTTTAGGATATGGTGACCTTATGGTTCATTCCTTGACAATATACAGTACTTGGAAAGATAGCCACCAACATACGAAACTCCTACGACGGACTGAATTAAAAAGTCGCTAATGGAGGACAGCTAACATACCCATTTTAAATAAAGATCGATGTCAGACAAGGCTGACTACTTCCACTCTTTCTATTCCTTCTCGTTGTTGGCTGGATCATGAAGACCTCCACAACTGAGCGAAAACACGGAATACAATGAACAGTTTAAATGCAGCTAAATAATTCGAACTTTGCAGATGACCTGGCTCTCATATCTCTCTCTCACACACACCAACAAATGCAGGTCAAGACAAACAGTGTAACAGCAAACTTTGAATTGGTGGGTCTCAAATACAACACAGAGAACACCAACCAGACCAATCACAGTTGATGGAGAAACTCTGGAAGATGTGGAAACGTTTGCGTACCTGGTCAGCATCATTGATGAACAAGGAGAATATAGTGCAGATGTGGAGGCAAGTATTGGCAAAGCAAAGACAGCATTACTACAGTTGATGAACATATGGAACTGAAAACAACTGCCAACTCACAATAAAGTCAGAATCTTCATTACGAACGTCAAGACAGTTCTACAGCATGGGTCTGAAACTTGGAGAACTACCACAACCACCATTAAGAAGGTAGGAGTATTTCTAAACAATTTTGTACACAAGGTACTGAATGTCGGTTGGCTGGATACCATCAACAAGAACCTACTGTGGGAGAGAACAAACCAGCTTCGTCCGTAAAGCAAATCAAGAAAAATACACTGAAGGTCAATGGTACAGACATCGTGAAAATCATCGAACTTCATCACTAATCCAGCCCCGATTCGGAATTCTGAAAGGAAAAGGAAAAGAGGAACACGCAACAACACGTTGCACCAGGAACTGGAAACAGATAGATGAAGAATTATTAGAAACTGGCAACAACTGGATAGAAGTGACTAGGACAGAGTAGGTTGAATAATCCTGGTCGGCAGCCTGTGCTCCACGAGGAGTAACAACCCTAGGTATGTGAAGAAATTCTTAAAATAATCTTTATCAAAATGGAAAGAAATTAGAATCAACATCATTTTAAATTCCATGGTTTTACTTTTGATTCCCCATCATTGCATTTATTATTAAATATAGTATTAAATGGATCGATTAGCACGGAATAACATTTAGGTACATTTGTTCAAAATTTTTCATCTTTCCAGATATTCTGGTCATCTGTATTTTTAAACTAAATACTGAGATGAACTGGTAAGCTAATCATATCACAAATTTAATTTGAAATGAATTGGACTATCCAACTGTTATTTTTGACTGGAATTTAATCAATCTTGGTTGGCATTTGCGCAATCTGTGATGATTGCCTCAATATAGCCATTATGACACAAGTTGTTATAAAATAGAAGAAATGTGGTTAGCAGTGGATTCCAGGACGCCCGTCTTATCTCGCTTGGGACTTATCAGCTGGATGTCCCTACATCTCAGACAAAATGAAAATAGGATGAAACACATATCCTCTATTCTACTGTTAGTTACATCCCATCTATTCTAAAAATATTACAAACTGCTTTGTGAAATATATGCATCGTCGCAACTAGTAATATTAGGAAAAAAGAGAATTGAATTGTGTACTACAGATAATATTATTTTGCGTATAACGGTGTGCCCTTTCATGTTTATGGGGATGCAAAAGATAATTAGGTGGTGTTCACTTTCACTAGATTTTGGTACATTGCATTTCATGAATTTCCTTTATTTTTAAAAAATACAGTGGACCACACAAAAAAGAACTCAGTTTATACAATATATTAGTGAAACACAATAGTTTTAGTAATGAATAGAAATCATCGACAGAGAAAGTGTAAAACAGGTTAATTTCACTATTTTCTTGAGATTGCTAACAAATAAATATTTCAATAGTTGAAATTATGAGTCAATTGAAGCTAGACAATCTTGAAAAACCTGAAGGCACTGGACGGCCGTTTCGTCTTAGTATGGGGTTCCTCAGCAGTGGAGTTCAACCAGGTCTGTTGTGAGATTTCAACTCACTGAAGACAATGGTGTGCGGTGGCGCAACTTCGTGGATTGGTTGAAGTTAGACATTAACACCGTTGGATGCTGGCCGGCTCAGTGGCCTAATGGTTAAGCGCTCGGTCGCGAGACTGATAGGCCCTGGGTTCGAATCTCGCAGGGAGCGGGATCGTGGATGCGCACTGCTGAGGAGTCCCATACCAGGACAAAACGGCCGTCCAGTGCTTCCAGGTTTTCCATGGCGGTCTGGCTTCCATTGACTCATGATTCCAACTATCGAAATTTCTAAAGAAAATTTGCACAAAACCTTTCCTAAAAATAAATATTTTCTTATTTCTATAGTAATAGAAATACTTCATAATTGAATAATAAAAGAAGAAACAAACAATAATAATGAAGAATTTTGGTATAGGTCTACGAGAAAAGGTCAAATGAATAGATGAAGGTTAATGTTATGCTGTTGTATTATGATAAAACTCAATATATTATATTTATATTATAAAAAAATAAAGCATTAAAAAGAGGAAACAATAGTATTTCCTTTGCATTGATTTTAGCATAAATTAAATGAAGAGAAATAAACGGACGTATATAAATGCCTTTAATAAAAAAAGTAACACTGCAAGTATCTTATTTATCTTAGAAATATAAGAAAATTCAATAAAGTTACTAATTCACTGTTGTATGAGGCCAAATAGATGGATTCGAATAGAATCTTCTTAAATACAGGAGACAAAATTTTAATTAAGTTTGAGTGAAGATAGTTTAGAAGTCTTCAATATTTTTAGGAATTAGTTCAGAATAAAGAAAAAGTTTGAATTTATTATTTACAAAGTAGGTTGATCTAAAGATAAATTTTAAGAAAAACTAACAAATTAGTGTAATAGTTAATAGCTGTTGGTTTCAATATAGAATTATTTATTTGTTTTTACCTAATAAGATAAAGTTGAGTGTCATGACTAGTATAATAATATATAACCACCCAAACGGTATCCAATTGTTACAGTTTCGATAGATGCAAAATATAAAATTAACATCAAAGTTCTTTTTCAGTGAAGTCAGACTCAGTTGGAAAAAAAACGACATGAATGTGATAGATCATCTTCGTTGGTATATTGGAGCACTGTCTTTTAGTAAAACTTCATAAAACAAATGCATTTTAAGCTTTTCCTCTCTACAATAGTCGAAAGATAATTAATTTTCGCCCTAACGTTATTACTTATTATTTGTCCCAACAGTTATTTGTGTATCAACAGTTTTCTGATTTAAAACTAAATAACTACAGGTTGTCTTATATTTATAGACTGTGAAGTGAGTATATTAACTATGCTTAAAAACAATAAAGTATATCACCAAGAATATTGTTAAAATCTGAAAGAATCGCATATTTCTGTTATAATAAAAACATCATCATATCACCAAATTTGTTTTTTCAAGCAACCTCATCTTACTCTTCAGAAAATCATTTGTTTAGATTTAGTTAAAAATGGTCATTATGATACATAATTTATTGAAATTTCAAAAATATCTCTTTGTTAACCTTCTAGGTAAAAATAAGAAAATTGCAGAGAAATGAACGTATTTTTCAAAAACTGTTACTTTAAAAAAGTCGTATAGACTATTAATATCAAACTAGTAAGTGAAGTAAAACAAATGATAATTAAATCCCTGTTAGTTTTCTTATTTGCTATTTCTCTTTATGGTTATGTTTAAGTGTTTTGTTTCTCTAATTTTCATCATTTTACTTTCATTATTATAAGTTATGTTCTTTAAAGGGTTGTTTATTTACAACAATATGCTCAGAATAAATCCTATTTATTATACACGTTTGTTAATGGTCTTAACTTATTGTGTTCTACTTTTTTATTTAAATTTTATTGATTTTACACTTGTGAAATGTTTCTCCATTAATTACTTTTCATAATCCGCATGATTTTATTTATAGTTTCTTATATTAATCCCTCTAATGCCTTTGATTATTGTCACAAGAAAAATATTTTGCCTTACTCTCTTCACCCTGTTTTTTTGTTATTTGTACACAGCATATAACAGTTACATGACCTTTTATTATTATTTATATTATATAACCTACTATAGAAATCTTTACACTGCATCGTCATATGTAATCATTTGTCCATATTTCTTTATTGAATTCATCCTTAAAATGATAGATATTCGGCTGTACAGCTTGATCATGAATTAGTTGGAAAAAGATCGCTTCTCTGAATTTCGGTTTTTAATATTTAAAAGAAGAATTATAGATCGATAGGTTATTTTATAATAAGATTTTCGTATATTGTTCAATTGCCATTTTAAGTATTTAACAGATAATTTCTTCATTGTTATAACTTGTGGCCCTGTGATCCTATTATTATATAACGTGATGATACAGCCAATTAGAGAACAGTGATTATCGACCGGACCAATAACGTTTAAAACCCGTACGAGCAGTCTAGAGTCTTTATTGGTCCTGCTTCCTGCCTAGCGCTGCCTGTTAAGTCCAGAACACCAATCTTAGCCTCTGCGATATGAATAATTTATTTCAAACATACTGAGTATATTTACATACCAAACATACCATATCACTCAATAAAGTAGAAAATAACATTTTTACAAGATCTAGCCAAAGGTGGCTGTGAATGTGGAAGACTGTAATTAATAGACTGAGCGTAACTCAAGAACGGTAAATCGTATAAATAATAGTCTATGGTCCAAAATAAAGCTTCTAATAAGGGGAACATGAATATGCATAGTTTGGTTACATAACGATTATATAATAAAAATATATGTATCGTATCGGTCCAGAAATAGTTCTCAAGAGTTACTATTCATAATTCTCGTCGGATATAACAATCATACAACCTTGTTTCAGTGATTAGAATTCAACTATTACATTTGTCATCTAAGGTACTAATAGGGTTCACTTTAAGTGTAACTGTGGCTCATCTCGAATTCTTACGTATATCTTAATAATGAATACTCGTAAATATGAAATCAAGATCTGGGAATTTGTATGATGACTACTAAGAAGCACTTTACATGAATCTAATTATATTCCCATCTTGTTTTTACTTAATAACCAAACTATATCCTTAAAGTTAGATTATCGTTAAAGATGTTTGTTTGTGTTAAATATAATTACCTATTTGTTTTAAGGACACTCAAAGAAGGGTAAATGTTGAAATTTCATTCCGCTTTTTTAAAACTACATTAAAGTATTCTCATTATCAAAAACATTTACTTACCCGTCCACGGTAAGTATACTGACCAACTGTTCAAAGGACGTCTCGGTTGAACTGGAAAATAAACAACTAAATTCTATTATAAATAGAATTTTAAAAAATTGAAATTAATTTGCGCAAATATTAAACATACGGAACAATTTAGGCAACATGATCAGTTACTTCTATTAACACGTTCCAATAGGTATTAGAATGCGATAGTAATAAGGTAAACTGATATTTTTGGTTTGTTTAATTTTATGAACCATGATTTATTCAAAGTTTTGATACTAGGATATTTTCAAAGTTTTGAATAAAGTGAAAAGAACATGATTTGAACAATCACATGATTCATTATATTTTGAGGCTTCACACTAGCCCCCAACGCTCTAAAGTTATGAATAGTTATACTGTTATGAAAATTTTAAAGTACCCTATCAATGTAGATAAGCTTGAAATAATTTCACAGCTTGTTATAAATACGAAAAGGCTTGGTTTAGTAATAAGAATATCTCAAATTATGGTCGATAGATGTTTTTCCATATATCAATTTATAATCTTTGCACTAAAACATTTGAATGGTTATGTATTAGAGAACAGAAACATGTGATTGACAGTCAAGAGGATTTATGCAAAATTTCATGTAGGTTTGATGATAGTTTTTTCACAATGGAATATGATGAAAAACTCTTTGTCGGTACTAAAGTTAATAGTCATTATAACAAAAAGTACTATTTATTTTATGTTAAGAAGCTTATCTCCTACATTTCATAACTTAGAAGTCAAAAACTGTTCTAAGATTATCGTTTAGATTATTTAGAATAGATGAATTGTGGCTAGCAAAAGTATTCAGGATCCGCGTTTCCTTCAATTTGGTGCATGTCAGTTGAATTTTTACATGTTTTTCAGTGTTGATGTTCAGCCTGGTAATTGATTGGATTATTTTGATGCTTGGACAGCGGATATCATGAGTGGTTGGTTTTTAGTATTTAAAGTATACAGGTTATAATGAATGCAGTAGGTAATCTTCAATTTCCCAAAGAATCCTACTAAAAGACGTATCCCTCAAAGTTAATACTTCATGGGGAGTTAAAATTATTTAATTATGTATCATTCTAAAAATATTATCTTACCTACTTCTGAGTCACTTTTATTGCATATCAAATAATTTATAGCGTGTTAAAGGTCACACAGTCAAACGCATTCTTCTACAGTTTAACACTTAGTCAAAAATAAAACATGAGTGGTTACCTGGACTCTATTTCAATATACATGTGGATAATTATAATCACGCATCAAAAAATGTTTTTTACTCAGTTATTAAAATTAAAAACAAATCCACTTTAAATCTATATAGAAATTATATATTTATAATTTATATACAAGTAAACCTTGAACATTGTATAAAAAAAAGAAAAACCTCTGGGATTTATTTCTCTATAATAACAACTGCTATCTGCTTGTTTATACAAATTTTTAAGTTGTATAGCATATTATTCACTTTTTATTTTTTATTATCATATCATAATGAATTAGTAGTCTCTGTAATCTTTAGTTACATACTTGATTTATTTTTACATCGAATGTTTAAAATTTCAGTGTTATTGTATGATTGTCTATAGTCTTTTTTATCTCAGTGTTTACACTATATTCTGAATTGCATTCCATTTATAGAGACAACTCATTATTATTTCGTTGTTAATTTTCTTTACATTTTCATTTGTGCTTAAATAATCGTTCGTTGCGCAGTAATTACTAAACTATTTAATCACTATACTCATTATTATGATTAAAAGATAAAGTCAAACAATAGCCATTATTACGAGTAGTTTCTTTATTGAATGGCCTTTCGTTACAAATCGATGCTAATATTTCCAGTATATTTCTGACAAAAATTATGTTGTATTGAATTTGGCTTAAAACTTATCATTTTTTAGAACCAATCTTTAACAGAAATTATGAAAAAGGTTGTTTCAGTCAGAATCGTTTCACATGCTGACCAATATATATATATATATATATATAAATGCTCACGTTTATTGTTAAAAAAACATTTTATTTGTTTTCCACGATAAATATGACGCGTCAAACTTCTTTACCAATCATTCCATATACAATTTGAATTTAGGAACCCTATGTAACTATTCATTCATCGGTACTTGAGTTTTTTATGAAGATAGAATGACTGACATGAGACGCGATTTCAGTAAGCATAAACATTAGCAAGTACCATGTACACCGAATCACAATAAATTTAATAGGAATTAGATAACAGTTCCTTAAAGAAAGGAAATTACATCATCCATGCACGCTATATTAATTGAGGTTTCATAATAAACAGATTTACAATAATATGTATTAAAATGACTGTTTAAACTGGTTTACGTATTGTCTAATATATTTAACCAAATTAAAACTTAGAAAACATTTATTTGGCAGTAAAAACCTAATTGTTTCTAATTTCAATAACCGATCAATAGAAAAAGTAATATTGAATAAAGCCATTAATAATAATAATAAAATAATAATAAAAATAATTGTTCTCCAGTTTACATTAATATACTAATATAAAAAAAGAAATTTTCGTAAATTACAGAGACAAGAACGTACCATATGTATAATTACGAACAGGTGGACAACCAATTTCATCAGTTCCCCCATCAAAGCAATCATCTGCTTGATCACAGCGCATTTGACCGTAAACACAAACAGCAGTTTGATTTCCACACCAAAATCCAGAGCCTACTTCACATCGACGCATTTCTAAGAATATAATATTACGGAAGCGGGAAGTTAATTGTTCGGAAAAAAAACAAAACAAAGAATTTATTTTAATTACATCGCTTTTTTCTTGCACATGTGTGCGCAACGCTAATCAACTAGGTCCAAAAAATCAAAGCTAATTTTTGAACAACATGGAAGGAAGGAAATGATACTTTTCAGTTTTCTCTCGTAATTATCAAAAGCTTATTATTTAATTCAGTTAGTAGTTAACTATAATAAACGATGGTCAGTTAATATAGAATTGAAATTGTATCCTTGCAGAAAAGAAGGACATTTTTCACGTTTTCTATGCATTTAGAAAATTAGAAGTCTGTCAGTTGGCAATTAAAACCACAAGGGATTTGAATAAGATGTGAAAATAAAACTTGATATGTGCATCATGAGTCATATCAGTACGCTCTAATAGTGTATCATGAGTACAGGAAGGCAAAAGACAAAGGAATTTGGTTTGCTGTGCTCGGGAGAAAGCTTGCCTTCCTAAGACTTAGCTTCAAGGGTGATGAAGTACCTGGAAAAATGAAATTCAGATTAGAAGCCATAATAAAAAGAACTTATCCAGCTACCTAGTCGATCCCCTGCATCAAATGAATTGCTCATTAAGACAGTCAGGTGCGGACAAACTTCCACCTTATGTTACCTCCAATCGTATCTACCATTTACTCGTACGTGCCAAAGCACGTACATCGGAAAAAGAGGAAGAAGGGTTGGTGTCCGAGTCACCGAGCACATTCCATAATAGCTTAGACTGAGAAGATAATATGTCTTCAGCAGTGCGATCACTCGCCATCTGCTTGATGGTCATGGTGTTGATGTTCCAAAGTAGTTGAAGACAATTAATAGACAATGAACATCGAATTTACCACAGTTTACCGAAGCGATTATCATCGAAAGACTTAAATCAAATTAATATATCCAGAAAGATACAGTTATCAACATTGTCATGCCGTAGTGAACTCATTTGCAAATGTTTGTTACGCAATTCCTCTTTTCATGACATTAATGATTAATTCTCGCCCTTTATCTGGTTTGTACTTAGTTTTGTTTTGAGAGTTACATTAATAAATTATTTCTGAATAATTGTGTTTCCATGTTCTTAGTTGTTTATTCTATAATACTCTTATCTTTAACCCATAAATACGAACATTAATTAACGTATGAAAACTTCTTATCGTTCTTTCGTACTTGTTGCTCTTTTCATTAGACTTCATTGATGAGAATACTATCGATGTTATGATATAATGTACACTGACTTTTAAAGATTAATACTATTACGTTTAGGTTGTAAGCAGATGATGGGAAACCGCGAAATATAGTGAATTCATAATATTCTGCTACATTAACTATTCTTCCTTTAATCAAATTGATAAATGGAAAAAATCGTATGAAACTTTTAAATTACGATTAATGCTCAAACAACAGAAAACAGTTTTCATCTTCATCCCAAACTACAAATCATCATTACCACAATATTAGTACATGTCATTTCATGACATAAAACGTTATGAAATATCAATTGTTGCTACTTAAAAAAGCACTTTCCAAAGTGTTAAATATAGCAGTACGTATACTGAACAAGTGTAGAAAAGAAAAGCATGTTTCAAAAAACATTTCATAAGACTCAAACAATGCAGCTAACTTTCGGCCAAGATTTAGTGTTTAGTAATTCTAATTTAACTTGATAGTAATTAATGCAGTCCTGTAATCAGTTGAATATATTTATGAAGTGCAACTTATATGAGTAATATTTTTTCAGAATTTAAATGTAGTTGTCATGATTTTACGCAGTTGCAAATAGTAGGAAAGATACTGCGGATTCATATTTCATGCTTGTTGGCACTCGTCATCAAGACACCTAGAATCTTGAGGGAACCTATGCTCCTTGCGGGATTTGAACCTAAATCACACAGATTCACAGTTCGAGATGTTACCAATGAACGATTCGGACTGCAAATGGTCTCCTTTAGGACTAATGTATTAAGAGTAATATATCACTGTATAGTGTCGATTCTCTCAAAATTGCATGTACGCCGTTCTGATGAGTTTTAATTAGCAGGAAACATAGGGCTAAGTTTTCCTGTCAACCACTTCACATCACCAGGTATCAAAACATAATGCGCGCGACGCCAATCTTACTCATTTGAATTTGACTAGTACCAAGAACTAAACAAACATAACATTGGTTACTACTCAGTTAATAATTAATGTATATAGTCGACATGTATAAGTGAAATCCTCAGTAATTTGCAACGAAATCAGAAAATTAGAGAAGACAATAAGAAACTTGCTTCTTTGTCTATTTTTGGAAAATCCTGAGATCTGACTACGATAGTGGACAAATAAAAACGAGGATTTTATAATACATTTGTTTCGAAATCAGCAAGCCAATTCATTTCATAAATTTTTCTTTTCTCCTACGTTTATACAGAGAACTTTGAAGAAGGCTTGATTCGGAAGTTTATATGTTTAGAACGTTAAATGTCTAAGACATTCATGTATTCATAAGTAATATGATTGTAGTTCTTTAAAAGTGTAAGTTGACAGGGCCACTAAATAATCATTTCAAAAATATGCTTCGTACAAGAATGATTTTGATGCTTTGGAATTTTTCACACCAATTAACAGACAGTTGAGAAAAGCAAAAACTTTCTGTCCAGTCTACAAACCTTAAATTTCAAAGTATCAATAACAATCTATTTTTTCATAAATACTAATCCCGAATCATTAGAAATTTAATGTTACTATTTCACAAAATTTATTTTGCTGATAAGTTTAGCTTCCTTCCGCCATCATTCAAAAATTACCACACTTATTCAATCTAGCTAATTTGATAAATACTGTTATATTTCTTCAGAAGCATCAGGAGGGTACTGGACGTATGAGTTCAGTTATTTTACAACGAAGCCACAAAAGAACACTTAGCTTCAACAGTTGTTTCCTGCAAGTAAATGTTCCTTGACACCACGTTCTATAAAAATACCAAGTTAACGTGTTAGGGTAGCAATATAAATAAGAAGGCAAAGACTTGAAGCTTTCTACTGTGAAATAATATGATTAAATTAAAGTACTGCGCCTAACAAAAACCGCCAAAGTATACAGTTTTTTATTCTATGATTTCAATCTTTAGTTACATTATGAAACATTTTTGATTTGTGCTTCTGAATCAATTCGTTATTATTAAGACCGGTTCGGAATTATGTTTAAGTAAATGGGAATGTATAATGACACTATAAAAACATTCTCATCAAGATAATCACCAGACAGTTCTGACCTTGGTCTCTCTCTTTTTTACAACGGTCATATTATTGACGGTTTAGATAGTCTGAAATAAGTTTCATAAACATCTATACCACCACCTCTTGTCTATCTACCAGTGGGTTTTTACATGAATGACATCGTCATCACAAAAATTCAAGAAAATAAGTCAGGAGTAAAGGTAATAACCACCATTAGAAGTCCCATACAGATTAGATTTATTACTTACTATCAGTAAGACTGAAAGTTCCTTCGAATCGCATATATGCTGACATTTGAACATCTAGTTTAGATTTTACATCCTCAATTGAACCGGACTCTGTATGCCAAACCAATGACACAATACGATGCTTTGAATCGATGATTTGCGGAAATGTAAATGTACAGGTTAAATTTAACTCCTTTAATAAAACAATGGTTGAAAAAAAAAGAATGTGTCCAGTTCATCAAGTCATTTGAAACTAAAGGTTTAATTTATGTAGGTGAATAAGTGCATAAAACAGTCCGTAAAACTAGTTAAAAGAAAGAAAAGAACCACTTTAAATCTACTGATAATTAGTCAGTGTTTAATACTTTTGGGACGTCCGCGCATACCAAATTAAAATTGATCACTTTAACAAATTCGGTTATCTTGGAAAGATTATTAAGAACCTGCTACTTACTTTGTCCAACCTCAATCAAACCTACCAGTTAAATGTGAAAATTTCCTTAATGACTATGATCATAATTAACTGTTTCTAGGTTTTTCGTGACTAATTTTATATTTTTATTGCCCACTGTTAATGGATTTGAATTAGAGTTGGATTGTTTTTCGCGTGATCAGAAAAAATATTAGATATCCACATTTTAGTTATAAATCCTCATTTGACCTAAATACTAAGACTATATAAATTCTATAAGTTACTGAAAACTACCTAATCCAAAATCTTAAAAGCCTTTGCGATTGAAACCATTTCAACAGCAACGATGGTGGCTGGTAGTGGAATCCAGGACGTGCATTTCGTTCTATTTGGGACTCGTCAGCTGGCGTACCTGCGTCCCAGGGTTACTTTTCACTCCAGGACTTGAACTCAGTATTATCCTCTTTAAAGGCTATCGCGTTATCCACTTAGCTAATGAATCCAGACGGCTAATAGCTTTTGGCCTATTGCACACATGGTTTTCACTGCTAGCCACCATCATTGCTGCTTATAATGCTAGACTTATGACTATAACGAAGCAATTGGTACAGGATGCACACATGCCAATAAGAGATTGATCAATTGAAGGATTCAAACAACACTATGATTAAAATGTTAACTTTTAAAACAAACATCTGCCTGAATTACAAATGTTTTCCGTCAATTTGTTAGTCATAATATCTTTCGATTCCACTACAAACAGGTTTGTGGAATTATTTTATTATCCTTGTCGATTATCTCTGTTCAAAAGGTCAGTAAATTACAGTTTTATATTTTTGTGAGTACAAAATAAAAAACTAGTAATCCAGTGTGTTAAAAATACTATAAAAAGGCACATTTTTAATAGTTCACTGAATATTATATACTTATTTCCGTTTGGTCACTCATTATACTTTGATACAACAAATGGAAAATCCAAAACGTAAATGTCAGGAAGTAATGAAATTGGAACAAATATTTCAACAGACATACGCTATTTATAGTAGGGACAAAAATCATTTTCTTCTTAAGAATTGAAATGTTGAACGTAATTGAATCACTAATTCGTTTGAAAAATGATGAAAACCTTACAAAATGCTAAGATTTATAGAAGTGAATTTTGTATGTATACCTAGTGAAGACAAAACTATTTCATTTAGATGAAATACTTTTAAGTTTTAAATTTTAAGTGCAGTAATAGAATTTGACTAGTATTCAGCAAGTCGATAGACAAGTGTTTTATCTCTGTAGATTTCCGTTTGACTAACTTTAAAATATGGTTTAAAAATGTTTTGTAAACTCAATTGCTGGCATTTACATACATTTGCACCTTAAGGTTCGATGTTAAATTGGATTAATAAGATCCAGAAAAGTGTACTCTTTAATCTTCCAATAATTATTTCATCCAACGACGAAAGAAATCAGGATGGCCATCAGACAAATCAAGAGCGGGAAAGCAGCAGGACCCGACAATGTGCCAGCTGAAGTACTGAAGCTAGACATCGAAGTAACTACAAACATGCTTCACCTTCTATTCAAAAAGATTTGGGAGGAGGAACAAGTGTCGATGGACTGGAAAGAATGACACCTCATCAAGATTCTAAAGAAAGGAGACCTGAGCAAATGTGAAAACTACAGAGGAATCACACTACTGTCAATATCAAAGAAAGTCCTTAGCAGAGTGTTGCTGAACCAGATGAAAGACGCAGTAGACTTTCAACTCCGAGATCAACAAGCTGGATTCCGTAAGGATCGGTCGTGCACAGACCAAATTGCAACACTACGGATCATCGTCGAACAATCAGTTGAGTGGATCTCGTCACTGTACATCAACTTCATCGATTATGAAAAGGCATTTGACAGTGTAGACAGGAGGACGTTATGGAAACTTCTTCGACACTATGGAGTTCCTGAGAAGATTGTCAATATTATCCGGAACTCATATGATGGACCACAGTGCAAGGTCGTGCATGGAGGACAGCTGACAGATGCATTTGAAGTAAGGACCGGAGTCAGACAAGACTGTCTACTCTCTCCCTTCCTTTTTCTTCTGATGGTCGACTGGATTATGAAGACCGCGACATCTGAGGGAAAACACGAAATACAATGGACAGCTCAGAATCAATTAGACGATTTGGACTTCACAGATGACCTAGACCTCCTATCGCATACACACGAACAAGTGCAGATAAAGACAGCCAGTGTAGCAGCAGTCTCTGCATCAGTAGGCCTCAACATACACAAGGGGAAAACCGAGGTCCTCAAATTCGAAACGGAGAACAGCAATACAATCACTCTTGATGGCGAAACTCTGGAAGACGTAGAATCCTTCACACACCTGCCAAGCATCGTCGATGAACAAGGAGGTTCAGATGCAGACGTAAAGGCGAGGATTGGCAAAGTAAGGGCCGCATTCCTACAATTGAAGAACATATGGAACTCAAAACAACTTTCAACCAATATCAAAGTGAGGATCTTCAATACCAACGTCAAAGCAATTCTACTGTACGGAGCTGAAACTTGGAGAACTACAACAACCACTATCAAGAAGGTACAAGTATTTACAAATGGTTGTCCACGCAAGATACTCAACATCCATTGGGCAGATACCATCAGCAACAACCTTTTGTGGGAGAGAACAAACCAGCTTCCAGCTGAAGAAATTAGGAAAAGACGATGGAAATGGATAGGACATACATTACGCAAATCATCAAACTGCATCACGAGGCAAGCCCTGGCTTGGAATCCTGAAGGGAAGCGGAAAAGAGGAAGTCCAAAGAACACATTGCGTCGGGAAATAAAAGCAGATCTGGAAAGGATGAATAACAACTGGAAGGAGCTGGAAAGGATTGCCCAGGACAGGGTTGGATGGAGAATGCTGGTGAGTGGCCTATGCTCCTTCACGAGGAGTAACAGACGTAAGTAAGTAAGTAATTAAGTTCATTATTTCATACCTGTCGGTTTGTGATAATTCGAATTTTTAAATCATATAGGAACGATATTTATGGCTGAATAATATGGGTTCATTTATTTTAAGGACTATCTTTAACTCCTTACGACTTATTGACAATATTAATAATTCATTGATAATATTAATAATTCATTGATAATGGTTTATATACTTTCTATTGTATCAATAAAGATTACTGAAAGCCTAAGGAATATTGACAAACTCTTGAAAATTTTCTAACGATCGGATGTTTATATGTTGAGTAATGTAAAGAATCTGGAGAAAAATAGATTTAAAACACGCAAAGACAAGTTTCTAAAAAATGAGATAGACTGTAATCATGGTATATTAACATTCTGAAAATTAAATTATATAAAAGAGGTAGAAATTATAAATATTATTGATAAAGCACAAGTACTTATGAGCTAATATAAGTTATGTGTATACATTATTCACCAAAGACATAGGAAACAAAGTCGAATATATGTTGAACATATAATATACCAGGTGAATTCCATACAATTTTCCACAACCAGCAGACAACCAAACGCACAAATAAAGCTTGGTCTGTGATCAATGTTAACGGAAGGTTTTTATCACATACGACCTAAGTCTGTGGACAAAAGTACTTTTCACAATTCACAACTCTTAATAAATTAATAAAAGTTGATCGATAACGTCTAGAAGTTATAACTACACCCTAAATTCTGACATTTCGTCTAAGTCTTTTTCAAATATACGGATGTCTAATTCTGAGTAAACCTGGATAGTCATAAAACTAGAATGAAAGGTTAAAAAACGTGGACTAGTTTCTCAAGAAAAACCCATTACCCTAAAGATGGAAATTCTTTCTTAAAACAGTATATTATTCATTTTATTTGATCAATACCACATATCACTATTAGATGAATTTAAAGCGTACTCAGTCAATTGCATTCAGACCCAAAAACATGCTACAAGAAGAAATATAGGGAAAAATTCCATTCAAATACTTACATATGGAAGTAAAGTAGGTTGAGTGATTTCTTCGGGTATAAACCCAATAGTCAAAAAATCATTGCAAGAGGTAAAATTAATAGAAACCCGTAGTCTATGGAACCAGTATGATGTATGTCCTTCAGGATAAGAATAATGTAGAAGTCTTCCATTTGGATACACTTTTATCTAGTTTTGTAAGTGAAAAATAAATTGCAAAGTAAACATAAAGGTAGCAAGCACAATCTACATTATGAACAAAATGTGGTAGATAAAACATCCACAAATAGGATCTTAATGTTACTTGTATATGTAAGAAAAATGGTTTCTGACGAGCAATCATTACACCTTGACTACTAAATTTTCAAGGGTAAAAAACGAGGTCAAACCAAAAACTCTACCAAACCAACCTCAGCAAACCTAAGAACATAGATTTTGTAGTATGGTTCAATAGGGTAAGTTGTATCCAGTGTTGAAATAACCAAAACTTAGAAGGAAAAACTCGAGGTGATCATTCGTCTTGAGAGAGCTATCAAAGTATATCTAGCAAAGAGTGACTGAGATAGTAACAGTATTAGCAGTAAACATCAAATATATGATCCAAGAATATATCTAAAGAAGATTAAAATGAGGAGAACCAAAATAGATAACAACGTGTCATCAATAACTGCAAAGAACATTAACATAAAAGACAAACTTTGAAAATAAGGAGTAAAACAGTGAGATACAAAAGACGTAATGAATTTGAGATTTAGGATTTGAAGGAAGTATAACGAATTCTACTGTTTTACTAATACTCAAATTTGGACCTTGAGATATCAGGCCTTTAAACACTAGATGCGGTCATTATGCTGATTCCAGGTACATGTTTACAATTGAGAACAGCTTTTAGGCCAACAGTTGATAACTGCAGTGGCTGATGAGATGTCCTACTTTGTCCAGCCTAGGACATCTTACAACATGATTTCCGGTTAACCACCACTGCAAGTATTGGGAGATTGTAGCTGAAAGTATATTTTGAATAGCTAAACAAATACTAGCCCTCAATTAAAATTATTTGGCCGCTTTCACTGTTATAAAAGCCCTACAAAATTTTATAAAATCCTGAGAAGTCTGAAATACCTTGAAGAGGGGTGCCATTCCCATTTATACAAAGAGTATAAGAATATATTGTTAAACCTCTCCATCAATTGGCATGGATAGTGCATGTTTATCCATTTTAAAAGCAAAATTTTACTACTATCTTCATCTGCTCAACAGTTCAATCAGCTTATAAGCTGATTAATGAAAATATACTAATGGTCTCAATAGTGGGTTGATCCTGTACATATAGAGAGAATTATTGTGTGAACAAGAAGCTTCTTTGATTCCATCTGTTTAAGGTGCTTAAATTCTCCAAATTTCCTAATTTAGTAATACATTAACTCAGTATATACTTAATTTAACACTAGTCCGAATAGTCCAATAATATATATAATTAAAACCGCCAGTCTAAAAAAATGAGTGTTGATAGTGAGCGATTTTACATCTCACCCAATTCTTTACTGTTAGAAAGTTAATTGAAAAATATATAGTAGAGCTAAATAATAAAGTTATGCTCACCAACCTTACAAGCATATAACAGATTGTTCCATGACGAATTATATAATCCGGTGACAAAACTCATCTGCCTAGAAAGCGAAAATCTTCTAAAGCCAGAGTGACTCCGGCAGTAATCTGAATTGTCTGGCAATATTACATCTACAGTACCGTTTAAGTTAGTGAATGTACATACATTCCTCGTAGCTTCCGAATACCACAGAGTAAACCTGTAGACTTGTTAAAGCCAGTGGCAATAAACGCATGTCAGAAATCTCATGAAGGCCGACGATAACATAAAATGAACCTGTGTTTTCATGAGGCTTGAAATACCGCTGAAAGTAAATGTATGAACTTTATATGTGTTTGACCCGAAAAACAAACCCCGGACTATATCATTTCTTCAGTCCGTAACATGTAATTTACATAACTTTACGTCGGAAAACTTTTCTCTTTCACGTCATTCGCTATTCACGGTATCGACAGAACGTTCATTTCAAACCATAATCAACAGTAACCAAGGAGGATGAACTGCCTCTTGGTCACCTGATCACCACGATAGGAATAACCAAGTTAGGTACCAACCTCCAGTTGTGACAAGGATGTGGTCTGGGTAGATAATTCATTCATGTCCAGTTTGGATAAATTTGACTATCCACATAATTGATTTACAAGCCTTTAATAACTTTTAGTTCTATCCATCCGACACTCACACCGTAATTTAGGCAAGTACCAGTACCGTTTGTTCATTCGCCTTAGGTTAGATTATAGGTGAAACAAGTTTTGTATTTAATCGACGAAACGTAATCGTGATTAACGCATTCCAAAAGATACAGGCGGAAATTACGGAAACGTGGCTCTAAATAAAATGAGGTGTTATGCATCTTTGGTTATCATGAACTGAAACGCTGGCCTGAGCCAGAATACGTGGTTACGTTATAAATTTGGAGCTGAAATGGAGAGAAACGCTTTTTCTTGAGTCCTGGAAATGTTTAATCCTATAGGCATACATCTTTCTATGTGATGACTTCAATGCTATATAATGGAATGCCATTTTCCTTGCTAAACTGAGTTTCAAAGATCAGATAAATAATCTGTTGACTGCGTCTGTGGGCGAATAGTTTCTGACATGTAAATGTCAAGCAAATGTAAATTTAATGATGGATTATAGTAGATCGTTTTCGAACACTGAGGAAGTTTTGTCTGCGGAATAACTGACTGTCAATACTTCTTGTGCATCTAATACACAAAACTCTGTGTTATTAATTGATGAGGTTCGAATACACTACGTGATGCGACATTTCCAAAATGAGCCAAACACATGAAGAAGGCTTCGAAAATACACGAGAGAGCTGTATGCTGTCAGAACACCAATAGATGGAGTATGTGGATGTTCAAGGCACAAACTCAACACAACGTCAATTGTTGCGATAATCCCTACCCAAACAGCGAAAAGTCTTACCGATAACATTCATGCCAAAACCCTACTTTGCCGATCAAGTATATTTTCACTTTTTTTTCGCTGATGTTTTAGCAATTAAAGAGGTACTGGAACCATAGGTAGAAGTGGCTATGAACTTATTTTCTTATATTTCCAAGATAACTGATAGGACTCAATTGATTAACAGCAAAAATTCAAGATATATTTGGTTAGTTTATTCAAAACGAACTTGAATTTAGTCTAACGAAACTACTTACGGAAAGTTAAAGTTCATTCAAGTGTGTCTTCTGAGAGTCAATAATAATATTTTTGGAATTCTGTAATCCATCATCATTCGTTAAAAAAACTACATCAGTGTTTTACATCAAGTTAATTTCATCATCTTTTGAGGTGAAATTAAAATTATCCCGCAAATGTATTTTTTCCCACTTAAGTCCCACAGAAGCTAACAGTTCGGCAAAATTCTTTGCACATGTTTTGAGGACCATATTTTGATTTTGTGGATATATCGGAACAGAGATTAACTTTCTTACAATATAAATATAACTTGAACGTCACTGGCTTGGCATCTCGGTCGTTAGAGCGGTCACCGAATTCATTAAGTCATTAAAACTTCAATTTATAAATGTTCCGGCATTTGAAGTCAGTGTGTCATGAAATTAATGAGTTAACAAACCATGAAAATCAGGCTGCTAAGACAGTACTTGTAGTACGTAAAGTAGATGAATTTTAAACCTATTGTAATAATATAGAGAAAGGCTATAGGTCTTTTAGGTAGGCGGAGTAAAACTATATCCAAATCAGACTACTGGTTATTGTAAGCACAACATGAACGTTGAACGGTTGATGACAAATTATACAGGAGATTTAAATAATTTATTCTACGGAGTTTACACTTTTGTTGGTCAGCCATCTTTTTTATTTACCGCAGCAATAATAATAATTTATTCTCAAATAACAGTTTGTTACATGAGGCATGCCAGTTTACAGGCAAGATCAAATTGATACAAATGATACAATATCCACTGTAGTAAATTACACAGCTGGGTTGATAATTTATAATATATGAATGTAGATGGTTTTAATCAGTATCACAGTTGGCGCGCTTCACGAAAGTTGCGTTGCGAATGTGCAACTGATGGTCAAGGATAGGTCGATTGAAGGTGGGAGCTTCTAAAAGTCACAACCTTATGTCCCTTTGGAATGTCTAAGGCTTTGAGGATAGTGCAGGATAAAATCTTTCGTTCCATATCACAAGGGGCTGAAAGAGGGAGCAAGTGAAAGAAAACACGAGGGGCAGAGTAGCCAATATTCATGAATGAATGTTTAAGGTATGATTACTCATTCTAATTTTCGTTTATTAAGGTATTTGTTAAGAAAGAGCATTTAATAGGTTAAAGAAAGTAAGTGTTAACAAGGTGTGAGTGGACATACAACTGACAAATGGAGGCAATTCGGAAAGGAGCTGAAAGTATGGTATTATGTGTGGTTATAAAGTAAAATATGGTGCTAGAAACAGTATTGTGATATACAATTGGCTATCTTTTTTATCGAAGCAATTGGAGCCCTTTTCATTTTTTTGTATTATTACTTTTTTCAGGTATCATAGGGTCTTGAGTAGGCTTCGTATATTAGCGAATTGTCTAGTTTGCTTGTAATAGGATTACTGGGTAGGAAGTGAAACCAATTCAACGTTCGTAACACGATTTAAAGAGGTATTTTGCGTGATAAATCAGCTTCAATACCATAAGTTCGTGACATGCCACTAAACCATAAGGAGAGCCCATATATCGCTTTGTAGAGAAATATTAAATTGTCTTTTAGCCTACGGTGCCATAAAGGTTCTAAAGATAGATGCTTACATCTGTCTGTGTAATCGAGACTCGAGTTACATCCTAGTAGTTGACGTGTGAAACGTCTTTGAACATCTTCTACTCTTATCTTGTCTGTGATATTCATATTAGAGAAGACAAAAGAGCAGTATTCAAGGGAGGGTCGTACACATATTTTGTAGAGAGTAAGTTTACCCTCTGTTGTGAAAAGTTTTTCATTATAAAACCAATTAGCCGTCTAGATTTCGAAATAATAGAGGAGGCATGTTCTTTAAAGTTCAGGCTTCCTGTGTAATTAATTCCTAAATCGTGTACTGATTCGAGTGTTTGGACTCTACTTTCATTTAATTGAAGTCGCGGTTTATAGGGATGCTTTCCAAAGTGCATGATCCCGCACTTGTTGAGGTTAAATGGTAATTGCCATTTTTCACTCCATATAGTTAAGTTATTGAGGTCCTTTTGGATCTGGGATATACTTTCGCTTAGTGTCTCAGGTTTATAGCTGTATACTATTTTAAGATCATCAGCATATGGTTGTTTATTCCGGAGGACTTTTGTGTGGGACCTTATCAAAGGCTTTCTTAAAGTCTAGGAATAGGACTGATACAAGGAGTCCGCTGTCTCGTTTCAGAGTTATATCATTCAGGTAGTCTACTAGGCATGTATCGCATGATCTGGACCTAAGAAATCCATGCTGGGAGGTCGAGATGAGATTATTAGTTAGTAGATGTTGGACTACAGCCGCCTTAACTACTTTTTCCATCACTCTGGATACCACTGAAGTTATGTTTATAGGCCGGTAATTTTCAACGTTTGCTTCAGGTCCTGTTTTAATTTTGGGAATGATATGTGTAGTTTTCCAGGCAGTAGGGTAACACGCTGAAGAGAGTGATATCGCGAATAGTTTGAGAAGCAAAACACACATATCATCACCTCCACGTTTTAGCATGCTAGATGGAATACCATCTGGTCCATCAGTGTAGGAGTGTTTCAATGTACTGATTGCCTTGGAGATATTTTGTACACTGAATTCTACATTAGTAATTTCACAGGGAGTTACTGGGATTGGTTCTGAATCATTAAATGGTTTTTCGTTAGTTAGTGAGAAACAAAAATGTTCACTAAATAATTCTGTGATAAGTTTGGGATCTTCGTATACTTGTTTGCCTTTAATGAATATACTCCCTCTCGATTTAGAGCGTTTAAGTTTATTTTGGAGTAGTATGGTGAGTGCAGAGGAGTTATTATTAAGTTCAACTGCACGTTTTTCCTGTGCTACTGCTTTTTGTTTACTTATTGCCTCTGTTCGGACAAGTATTTCTGTCATCGTTACTAAAGAGGAAAAGTCATTTAAGTTGTGGAATCGAGTACAATGTCTTTGAAGACGTCTTCTTGTACTGACCGGTATATAGAGATCTTTGGAGAACGTAGGTTTACAGTATTCTAAAGGTGCGATGTTGTTGATGATACTTTTGATGTTGTGATAAAATATATTGGTTAATGTGTCGGTATTGTTTGAGGTAAAGAAAGTTCTCCAATCAGTGCTTCTTAGGTAATTGTGGAAGTTATTCCAATCAACCTTGCGATAGTTTCTACGAAGTGTTACGGTTTTACTTCTATCGGTTGTGGTTTTTACATTAAGGCTGCATATGACAATGTTATGATCACTACCTGGGAACTTTTTTCCAATATACAAAGTATTGGGGATGAGGCCACTGGTAAAGACTAAGTCTAAGATGTTTTGATGTCTGGTAGGGCTATCGACATACTGAGTCCATTGTCCAAGCTCTAGACATTCAATAAATGATTCATAACGTCTCGGCGCTTTGACTGGCAGCCAAGAAATTTCGGGCATATTGAAGTCACCACAAATGAGCTTGCCTGTGAATGAGAGGGATGATGCTAGTGTGAATACCTCCGATAATACTGCTATTTCATCTATTGATGCGTTAGGTTGACGATAAACACAGCCGAGCAGTAAGGTAACGGAATTCGACGGCTTTAATACAATCCACACCGAATCCTTCAGTTTGTTTAGTTCAGGCATATCACATAGCAGTGAGTTTAGGCTAGAGTGAGCGTAAATAAGGCATCCTCCGCCTCGTCCATTCAATCTATCGCTTCTATATAAAGAATAGTTATCAAGAGATATACTTCGGTCGGAAATATTACTGTTAGTCCATGCTTCAGATATCATAATAACTGATGGTTGATATATGGATACAAACAGGGCTAAATCCGTCTTTTTGTTGCAGATCGATCGAGCGTTGATAAGACATATATTAAGCAAGTGGCCTACTAAGTTAAAATGGGTGAGGGTATCTCGGATAAAATCGTCGTAACCCTCGCGGTGTGAGATGAGTTTGATGTGAGGGATTGGATGTTCTTCATTAGCTCGGTATTTTGATAGCTAGACTTAGTGGGAGATGTATCAAATGAGCTAGTGAAGTTGATTGGGGAGTATACCACAATTAGATATCGTGTCGACCCCCGTACCCCAAAATCCGGAGCACGGTTTATGGTCATCGCTCTGGCATAACACCAGACCTAATGGGCCTAGCCGAACACATGGTCCAGTCCAGACACCAAAAGGAATACGTAAGCTTGCCCAGCCACGTGTCGGATACAGAATGTACCGTTGCAAATTTGGACGGGATTCAAACTTAGAGGCGTTCAGTCTTAATCCCTCAGATGGTAGCTTCGCATCATTGGCCTTTCGACCAGGCACATATACCAATTATCTGAACCTACGGTTCCTCTCGTACTAAACAGGATTACCATAGCAACGGCCAGATTGTACTTCACTGATGTACTCATTAGTAGGATAAAACTAACCTGTCTCACGACGGTCTAAACCCAGCTCACGTTCCCTATTAGTGGGTGAACAATCCAACGCTTGGTGAATTCTGCTTCACAATGATAGGAAGAGCCGACATCGAAGGATCAAAAAGCGACGTCGCTATGAACGCTTGGCCGCCACAAGCCAGTTATCCCTGTGGTGCCCCTTCCAGCCAAACTAGTTGGTGAAGCCTAGTAGGCCCTTCTGGAGAAGAGGCTACATCGAAGCACGGCACAACTACCGGGGCGCAATAGCTGTTTTTGCATTATTTTTTTGTCTTTGGTTTTACTTCCTGTCCGGTGATTGCTGACCACCTATGTACTACATAGCAGTGATTTATTATACCTTTTTTAGTTGGTAAAGTTTTGTTGCAGCCTGGGTATGGGCATTTATTTTGTTCGTTTTTGGAGTTTATTTTATTAACTTTGGTTTTGGGTTCAGCTTTAGTTAGATTATATTGTGGGTGGCATGACTGCATGTGTCTATTTAACCAACCCAACGTCTTATACGTTTTATTACAGTCAGTTAAGGGACAACTATATTGGGACTCACTATTAGTTTTATTTTGGTGATCATTTCTAATGTGTTTGTTCATTTCTTTAATTGTAGCAAGCTTTCTGTTACAGTTTGCATTTTGGCATACATGGTTCAGCTGACGTTTCCCTATTATTTTTGGAAAGTGCTCTTGATATGCGTTTATTTTAACCTTGTTGGGTTGGTTTATCCAGTTATTAGGAAGGCGCTCACCCATTTCTTTAATGTCTTGAAATAGCTGTCTTAGCCAGTTTTTAGTATGGGCCTTCCTATTGTTGCATTGATTTTCAAAGTTACTATATAAAGACCTCACCATTAGGTTATTTGGTCTTTTATGCGCTACATACCACAAGTTTAGTCTGTTTTGCATGATTTTACTGGCTAAGTTTGGTAAGTTTATTTTAAGTTTAAGTTGCTCAACAGTATATTGTTTTCTATCATTTATATTTGGAATTATCCGTCTTACTGTATTTAACACCGCTTCTAGTCTAGACCAATCTTGCTTTCTTAGTACTATTGATTCTAGACCATATGTGAGAATGGGGATTATTGAGGAATCCACCATCTTGGCTTTGGTATCAAGATTGAGTTCTTTAGATTTAAGTATTGGTTTAATTTAATTATTGCATTTTTAGCTTTTTCTATATTATGGGTGATAGCACTATCCGGAGTACCTTTGTTATTTATGGTAGATCCAAGATAGTGGAAAGATTCTACTTCTTCGATATCTTTGTTGTTTATTTTGATATTTGATGTGATAGCTTTTTTATTTATTATCATATATTTAGTCTTGGAGATTGATATCTCCATACCAATACTGGTTAAGTATTGTTGTAGGTGGTTTAAGGCTTTGGTAGCCTCCTCCGTTGTGTTAGTGATTAAACATAAATCGTCTGCATATTCTAAATGTTTAACTGTCCAAATCTTGTTATTTTGGTCTTTAAGAGTCACTCCTTTTAGGGTTTTATCTATCGTTTGTTCTAATATTTTTTGAAAGACTAAGTTAAAGATAGCCGGACCTCCTTTACTACCCTGTCTCACTCCCCTTTTCATCGTGAAGTTTAGTTCTGAGTTTTTTAGATAACCCTTGGGGTCATCTAATAGTTTGGTTATACAGGAGTTTATATTTTTTGAGGGGCATAGTTTATTTAGAGTATTTAGGATTATTTGTTTGGGTATCGTATCGAACGCTTTAGTTAAGTCCACAAAGGTGAGGACTATAGTGCTATTTGTATCTATAGAGGATTGAATTATATGTCTTAAGGTCGTTATTGCTTGGACTGTGGACAGATTTTTTCTAAAACCAAATTGGGTTATTGGGAGATATTTATCTGTTAGTTGGACAAGTCTATTGCAGACTATGCCTGCAAATAGCTTTCCTATCGTATCTAGTAAGAAGATACTTCTATAGTTGTTCGGATCGGTCTTAAACCTTTATTTTTATATATACTTATTACATCTGCATCTATCCAGTGGTCTGGTATAGTGCATGAATTTTTCCATATCTGATTCATGATTTTCAGTAGTATGTTATTTAGTTTATCACCACCTTGCTTTATCATTTCGCTAGTTATGCCATTATTGCCAGGTGTAGTTTGATTTTCCATTTTTTTTAAACTTTGATTTATTTCATTTATAGTAAGTTCAGAGTCGTTGGTGGTTTTTACCGGCAATTGGATATTATCTTGGTTTAGTTTAGTATTGAATAGGTTTTGGTAGTGATATTGAAGATCACTATCTTTAATTTGATGAGCTCTTTTAGCTTTGTATGAGTGGTTTCGTATAGTAGCTAGTATATCATCTACCATTTTGTATGCTAAGTGCAGGTCATGCTTTTTAAAGTATGTGTTCATCTCATTCATTTTATCTTTGATATACTGGTCTTTAGCTAGTTTAATCTTATTATTCACTATTTTACTAGCTTGCATATAAAGGCTTTTGTTAGCAGCTGTAGGGTTATTTAGCCACTTTAGTCTTAATTGTCTTCTATGTTTAATTTCGTCTTTTAATAGATTGCTTATGTTATACTGCCATCTCTTGGTGGCCGACTTATATGGGATAGCAGCTTTGTTAGCTGCTTGGGTTATGGCTCTTTCTACTTGGTTTAGTTGGCATTTATTTTGGAGTAAGGTATTTAGTATCTTTGGGTAGTCTGGAGTCAAGGCGTGAATCGCCTTACTCTGTTTTCTTTTGGGTTTACTTTTATCATTAGAAGTCTTATTATTATTTAGATACTTTAGTTTCAGTATGGTTGTGATCATATAATGATCTGTGTTTGCTCCCATAGAGCGGCTGTTATGAATATCACAGACCAATAGTTTTGAGTTATTTTCTGTTATTACTAGATCTATGACATGTCCCATTTGGGTCTTCGGATGTACCCAGGTATGGGTCCTGTGTTCTGGTTTAGTGGTGAACGAGTTCATTACTCGCAGGTTTAAAGTTTTACATAAGTTTATTAGTTTCATGCCATTTTCTGATGTTTCAGTTTCAAGTTTAATAGCTTTCCCTATAATGTTAGGGTAATAAGTATGAAGGTCCTGGCTTAGCCTGCAATTATAGTCTCCCAGGATGAGTATAGGAAGTTTATTTAGTTTAAGCTTTTTAATTGTGTCTTTTAGCTTAAGATAGAATTTTTCTTTACTAACTTCATCATTAGAAGACTCGGTTGGGGCGTAGCAACCGATAAGGTTAATAGTCTGCTTGGTAGCTTTACTGTGTATTTTAATGGTAGCTATTCTGCCATCTACCTCTTCAAAATCGGTGGCAGTTATCATAGATTGGTCATTTACCAGAAAACCAACACCAGTATTTCGGTAGTCATTAATGTCTGGGTTAGAGTTATAAAAGTTTAAGCCGTTGTTATCCATATCAATAATTTTAGAGGTCATTCTAGTTTCCGTGATCACTGCTATGTGTTACTTGCGTTCAGCTATTTGCTTTGCTATCTCTTGGAGTTTGCTCTCTTGTGAACAACCCCGGACATTCCATAAACCAATTTTAAGTTTTTGGCAATTTTGGGCATTTTTTTTGTCTTTTTTTATTCCAGGTATAATTGTGCAATGATTCTTTGTAGCTTTCGTAATCAGGGTTGGGTGTAGGTAGAGAGGGTGATTAGCCCGATCTCCACCATCCGGGTTACCGCTCACGTTAGTTCATGGAATCAGTCCCATTATACAGGAGGCGCGACGAGGACGTGTGTGCCGCTCAAAAAATATAAACTCCTGTTTAACCAAACTATTAGATGACCCCAAGGGTTATCTAAAAAATTCAGAACTAAACTTCACAATGAAAAGGGGAGTGAGACAGGGTAGTAAAGAAGGTCCGGCTATCTTTAACTTAGTCTTTCAAAAAATATTAGAACAAACGATAGACAAAACCCTAAAAGGAGTGACTCTTTGTTTGGGGACGATAGATCCCCAAGCTCATATTTTAAAATTTATCTTATCGATCATCTTATTGATTAAATGTTAGATATTTTTTATTGGGGTCAATTGATGAACTATCGACTAAATGCGCAAATAGGTCAATTGATGAACTATCGATTAAATGCGCAAATAGGTCAATTAATGAACTCGTTGATTAATGTTCAAAAAATTTTTATGACAATATCGATTGTAAATAATTGTATAAATACGCTTGATTTGACTTGTTATCTGCTGTTTGTCTGTAGAATACACTTTCTACACCTTACCCAGACTTCTTGATCGAGTTAGCAGAGTTGGGGACAACGAACCAGAGTAGCTATCGAGTCGCTGAATCATTGATCCTTCGTTCGTTCGAGTAAGACGCATCAGTAATAGCATTCAAGCAATAACGAAACATAACACTCTTAAAGACCAATATAACAAGATTTGGACAATTAAACATTTAGAATATGCAGACGATTTATGTTTAATCACTAACACAACGGAGGAGGCTACCAAAGCCTTAAACCACCTACAACAATACTTAACCAATATTGGTATGGAGATATCAATCCCCAAGACTAAATATATGATAATAAATAAAAAAGCTATCACATCAAATGTCAAAATAAACAACAAGGATACCGAAGAAGTAGAATCCTTCCACTATCTTGGATCTACCATAAATAACAAAGGTACTCCGGATAGTGCTATCACCTATAATATAGAAAAAGCAAAAAATGCAATAATTAGAATTAAACCAATACTTAAATCTAAAGAACTCAACCTTGATACCAAAGCCAAGATGGTGAATTCCTCAATAATCCCCATTCTCACATATGGTCTAGAATCAATAGTACTAAGAAAGCAAGATTGGTCTAGACTAGAAGCGGTGCTAAATACAGTAAGACGGATAATTCCAAATATAAATGATAGAAAACAATATACTGTTGAGCAACTTAAACTTAAAATAAACTTACCAAACTTAGCCAGTAAAATCATGCAAAACAGACTAAACTTGTGGTATGTAGCGCATAAAAGACCAAATAACCTAATGGTGAGGTCTTTATATAGTAACTTTGAAAATCAGTGCAACAATAGGAAGGCCCATACTAAAAACTGGCTAAGACAACTATTTCAAGACATTAAAGAAATGGGTGAGCGCCTTCCTAATAACTGGATAAACCAACCCAACAAGGTTAAAATAAACGCATATCAAGAGCACTTTCCAAAAATAATAGGGAAACGTCAGCTGAACCATGTATGCCAAAATGCAAACTGTAACAGAAAGCTTGCTACAATTAAAGAAATGAACAAACACATTAGAAATGATCACCAAAATAAAACTAATAGTGAGTCCCAATATAGTTGTCCCTTAACTGACTGTAATAAAACGTATAAGACGTTGGGTTGGTTAAATAGACACATGCAGTCATGCCACCCACAATATAATCTAACTAAAGCTGAACCCAAAACCAAAGTTAATAAAATAAACTCCAAAAACGAACAAAATAAATGCCCATACCCAGGCTGCAACAAAACTTTACCAACTAAAAAAGGTATAATAAATCACTGCTATGTAGTACATAGGTGGTCAGCAATCACCGGACAGGAAGTAAAACCAAAGACAAAAAAATAATGCAAAAACAGCTATTGCGCCCCGGTAGTTGTGCCGTGCTTCGATGTAGCCTCTTCTCCAGAAGGGCCTACTAGGCTTCACCAACTAGTTTGGCTGGAAGGGGCACCACAGGGATAACTGGCTTGTGGCGGCCAAGCGTTCATAGCGACGTCGCTTTTTGATCCTTCGATGTCGGCTCTTCCTATCATTGTGAAGCAGAATTCACCAAGCGTTGGATTGTTCACCCACTAATAGGGAACGTGAGCTGGGTTTAGACCGTCGTGAGACAGGTTAGTTTTATCCTACTAATGAGTACATCAGTGAAGTACAATCTGGCCGTTGCTATGGTAATCCTGTTTAGTACGAGAGGAACCGTAGGTTCAGATAATTGGTATATGTGCCTGGTCGAAAGGCCAATGATGCGAAGCTACCATCTGAGGGATTAAGACTGAACGCCTCTAAGTTTGAATCCCGTCCAAATTTGCAACGGTACATTCTGTATCCGACACGTGGCTGGGCAAGCTTACGTATTCCTTTTGGTGTCTGGACTGGACCATGTGTTCGGCTAGGCCCATTAGGTCTGGTGTTATGCCAGAGCGATGACCATAAACCGTGCTCCGGATTTTGGGGTACGGGGGTCGACACGATATCTAATTGTGGTATACTCCCCAATCAACTTCACTAGCTCATTTGATGCATCTCCCACTAAATCTAGCTATCAAAATACCGAGCTAATGAAGAACATCCAATCCCTCACATCAAACTCATCTCACACCGCGAGGGTTACGACGATTTTATCCGAGATACCCTCACCCATTTTAACTTAGTAGGCCACTTGCTTAATATATGTCTTATCAACGCTCGATCGATCTGCAACAAAAAGACGGATTTAGCCCTGTTTGTATCCATATATCAACCATCAGTTATTATGATATCTGAAGCATGGACTAACAGTAATATTTCCGACCGAAGTATATCTCTTGATAACTATTTCCTATATAGAAGCGATAGATTGAATGGACGAGGCGGAGGATGCCTTATTTACGCTCACTCTAGCCTAAACTCACTGCTATGTGATATGCCTGAACTAAACAAACTGAAGGATTCGGTGTGGATTGTATTAAAGCCGTCGAATTCCGTTACCTTACTGCTCGGCTGTGTTTATCGTCAACCTAACGCATCAATAGATGAAATAGCAGTATTATCGGAGGTATTCACACTAGCATCATCCCTCTCATTCACAGGCAAGCTCATTTGTGGTGACTTCAATATGCCCGAAATTTCTTGGCTGCCAGTCAAAGCGCCGAGACGTTATGAATCATTTATTGAATGTCTAGAGCTTGGACAATGGACTCAGTATGTCGATAGCCCTACCAGACATCAAAACATCTTAGACTTAGTCTTTACCAGTGGCCTCATCCCCAATACTTTGTATATTGGAAAAAAGTTCCCAGGTAGTGATCATAACATTGTCATATGCAGCCTTAATGTAAAAACCACAACCGATAGAAGTAAAACCGTAACACTTCGTAGAAACTATCGCAAGGTTGATTGGAATAACTTCCACAATTACCTAAGAAGCACTGATTGGAGAACTTTCTTTACCTCAAACAATACCGACACATTAACCAATATATTTTATCACAACATCAAAAGTATCATCAACAACATCGCACCTTTAGAATACTGTAAACCTACGTTCTCCAAAGATCTCTATATACCGGTCAGTACAAGAAGACGTCTTCAAAGACATTGTACTCGATTCCACAACTTAAATGACTTTTCCTCTTTAGTAACGATGACAGAAATACTTGTCCGAACAGAGGCAATAAGTAAACAAAAAGCAGTAGCACAGGAAAAACGTGCAGTTGAACTTAATAATAACTCCTCTGCACTCACCATACTACTCCAAAATAAACTTAAACGCTCTAAATCGAGAGGGAGTATATTCATTAAAGGCAAACAAGTATACGAAGATCCCAAACTTATCACAGAATTATTTAGTGAACATTTTTGTTTCTCACTAACTAACGAAAAACCATTTAATGATTCAGAACCAATCCCAGTAACTCCCTGTGAAATTACTAATGTAGAATTCAGTGTACAAAATATCTCCAAGGCAATCAGTACATTGAAACACTCCTACACTGATGGACCAGATGGTATTCCATCTAGCATGCTAAAACGTGGAGGTGATGATATGTGTGTTTTGCTTCTCAAACTATTCGCGATATCACTCTCTTCAGCGTGTTACCCTACTGCCTGGAAAACTACACATATCATTCCCAAAATTAAAACAGGACCTGAAGCAAACGTTGAAAATTACCGGCCTATAAACATAACTTCAGTGGTATCCAGAGTGATGGAAAAAGTAGTTAAGGCGGCTGTAGTCCAACATCTACTAACTAATAATCTCATCTCGACCTCCCAGCATGGATTTCTTAGGTCCAGATCATGCGATACATGCCTAGTAGACTACCTGAATGATATAACTCTGAAACGAGACAGCGGACTCCTTGTATCAGTCCTATTCCTAGACTTTAAGAAAGCCTTTGATAAGGTCCCACACAAAAGTCCTCCGGAATAAACAACCATATGCTGATGATCTTAAAATAGTATACAGCTATAAACCTGAGACACTAAGCGAAAGTATATCCCAGATCCAAAAGGACCTCAATAACTTAACTATATGGAGTGAAAAATGGCAATTACCATTTAACCTCAACAAGTGCGGGATCATGCACTTTGGAAAGCATCCCTATAAACCGCGACTTCAATTAAATGAAAGTAGAGTCCAAACACTCGAATCAGTACACGATTTAGGAATTAATTACACAGGAAGCCTGAACTTTAAAGAACATGCCTC